ATGTCACCAGAGGCCTGGTGAGCCCATTCCGGGAGCACTTCGAGAGCCCAGCTGAGCCTTGCCTGGACTGGTGCTGGGGTCCTGCAGAGCCTCTGGGGAGGAGCTGAGGGACCTTTTGGATCATTGGCAGAACCAGGGAAGAACCAAGGGAGAAGCTCACAACCTCTCCTCAGACCTATTATTACCCACCACGGATGCCACCTATCCCCAAAGATGAGGTCCCACAATCTGCATATTATGGGAATTATTTGTCCATCCTGTAGTCGTGCAAGACACTCGATTTAGCTATCATCCGTTAGCTGCCTCTACCCCAAGCCCAGGACGTTAGCTTGTCCAATCTTCACAGTATCATGATTTTGCAGAGGAGGAGGGTCCGGGAGGTTAAAGACCCACCCAAGGTCACACAGCTGCTAAGTCCTGTGACCTTAACCAGCCCTGCCCACGACAGCCAGGCCAACCAGTCAGCCGAATCACTCAGGCCAAAACAAAGCTTGAGATTTTTTTAAACTCCAGGGTTTGCAAAGCTGGCTGACTACTGCAGTCACACAGGGAGCTTTTTAAAATCCCAAAGACCAGGCTGCCTCCCAGACCAGTTAAATCAGGAACCCTGGGGCGGGACTCAAGCATTGGTATTTTTAAAACTTCCAGTGGTGATGCCAATATGCAGCCAGGGTTAAGATCCACTAATTTAACCAATGCAGTTTTTAAAGAGGATGATGAAGTTTAATCCAAGGCTAGGAATGGGATTTATTAATAGCAATTGTTAATAACAGCTAATGCACGTGGCAATTCCAGGGCGCCACTCATGGTTTAACTTGCAGGAGTGAGGCCCTGGAGTTGTGCAGTGCACAACCTGCCTTGCAGTACATGGTGCCCTGGTAGGCAGCACTTATTGAGTCCTCGACGCTGTGCCAGGCACTTGCCAAGCAGCAGGCAAGTACCACCTCATTTATTTTGCAACTGATCAAGAGCAGCTATTCCACCTACTCAGCTCTGCTGTTTTAGCAGAAAGCAGCCACAGACGATGAGTAATGAGTGTGCATGGCTGCGTTCCAGAACTGGGATTTGGCCCAAAGGCTATAGTTTGGTGACTCCTGCTGCAGGGGGAAGTAAACTCGCCCAAGGCTAAGAATGGGCAGAGTCTGAATGGTTCCAGTGCCCCTACACCTAAGCTCCATTCTGCATTTCTTTGACAACCAATGAGGATATTCACTAGCCACTTAACTTTCTCCTCCATTGGCCTGCTCTCTCCTCTGCCAGTTCTTCCTCTGGGCATTCATCATCTTTTCCTGTTTGGGAGATGACCTACCACTCACCTTACCTCACCTCACTGCCCCCTCATGGCCACTTCCCTGAGAACCTTGATCTCTCAGGACACCCAGCAGCCTGAGAACGGACCCCACTTCACCTTAGGAGGCCCAGCTGACCCCCAGGAGCCCAGACTTTCCTGGCCTAGCACCTGCGTCTTATGGAGCAGCCTCTTTCGTTCCAGCACTAGGAGAGGCTCCTCTACATGCAATCCTCTTTAAACTAAGAAGCAGGAAGGCCGGCTCATCAGCTTTCTGGGCCCTGGGGACCCCAGACACACTTGTCCACGGATCTCATGCGTGTTCTCTGGAGTTCAACATATTACCTGGTAAAGGCAGTGGTGTTCCCAGCTTGCAGCTCTGGGCTGAAGAGCAGACAGATCCTGCAGGCTCCCTAACTCAGCCACCACACCACCCTCACTCATCTCAGGGAAACACCATCCCCCACTGCTTTCATTTTAAAAAAAAGAAAAGAAAAGGCCTGGAGCAGATCCATGAACCAGAGCTGGCAAGTGACTGGACCTGGGTGCAGGACTGGCAACATAATTTGCAGTGGAAAATGGGAATGCAGGGCCCCTCTCCTAAGTGTGACCCTGCATCACTGAGTCCTAATACTGCAGGGACACCTGGCCCTGGGGCAGCCAACCCATTTACTAACTGGCAAGCTATGGGGTATCGGTTCTCAGCCTGGCCAATCAGGTGTTTTCCCTCTGGAATTTAATGGGAGGGAGAGACCGCCCAGGGAAAGTGAGAGAAACCAAAGTCATATAAAAAATTCACCAAACCTGCTGATGACAGTTTTTCCCCACACAGCAGCAAGAATGACCTTTTTAAAATCAAATCAGACACGACCTTTCCCTGACTTGAACCCACCCATCCACCCTCACCCCAGACACTCTCCCTGTCGCACACTCACGCCACTCCAGGCACACTATGCCTTTTTGTTCCCTGAACAGACCAAGCTTGTTCAAGGTACATGAGTCACACACGCTTTTCCCTATGCCCCAAACAGCCTCCTTTCTCCTTCTCAACCATCAGACCTTACGTGTTGCCTCTCAGAAAGGCCCTCCCCCTGCACCTGGCTGAAGGTGGGTCTCCCTGTTAGCGTCTATCCCAGTCCCCCTGGTTCCTTCAGTAGGATCCTTGAAGTTTGTAATTAGTTATTTTTATCGGTTTGTGTACATGTTTACTGGCTGCCTCCCTAGTAGAACATCAGCTCTGAAAGTGGGGACCTTGCTTGCTTATTTTGCCTCTATGTGTCCAGTGTGTTTACCGTGACATCTGGCAAATTACAGAAACTCAAACATTTTGCAGAGTGAATTAATGATTTTATTATTGTGTACTTTCCAACAGTTATTCCTATTATTCAGGAACTCTTGCTTTTGTGTACCTGTACCCATTTGTACCCAGCTACATTATTGAATTCTCTCATTAATTCCAAATGCTTTTCTGCTAATTCATTTTGGGAATTCTGGGTATATAGTGATAGCTTTTGCAAATATTAATTCAGCTATCTCCTCCTTTTCTAAAGTTATACAGCTTTCCTGCCTTATCGCTTTGGCAACATACACTTCATTGTTTTAAAGAGGGTGTGACTAATGGAAATTATGAAGCTCTGGAAAGTGTGGGGAACAAAGGGCCTACAGGCAGGACAAATAACCAAGGAGCTGCAGCAACTATTTAAGTGTGCTATGCTAATGACCTGGATAGGATGAGAGCTGAGGACACAGGAAGGAAAGAGTTGGCTGAGAATTACTCAGATGCAGGATTGGTAGGACTTTGTAATGGGAATAGGCAGCAGAAGGGGAAAAAAATGCCCAAAACTCCAACTTGAATCAGGGGACTCTAATGCATTGGCTCACAGTCCTGCAGAGTAGGAAAATATCCACATTTTTAAGAGGGAGGGAGTTGATATAGCTGACTGCTTATCTTGTTTGTGAAGAATCCATTTTTAACTAGCTACCAGATACTACCATAGTCATTTTTCAAGGACCAAAAATTGAGGAAGGATATAATCTGAAAACAAACTGTCTTATGAAAACAGAGGAGAAGAAAGGAAATTAATTAAAATTCTCAATTTAGGAACAGTTTTGAGAATGTGAATTCAAGAAAAGAAAATTAGCAGATATGTCTCTGTACTCTGACACTTAATCTGGCTGCATCCAAAATATCTTATAATAATTAACACTTTTTCTAGTTTCCACAGCACCTTTACAAACGCGGTCTCACTTCCTCCTCCTAACAGCACCCTGTGATGGGCAATAATAGAAATGCCAAACATGTGTCTGGTATGCCACCATTTGCAAGCACAGTCTCTCTCTCTCTCCCTTTGGTGCCTGCATTCCCTGACATGTCATCTTGCAATTTACACTCATCAAATCCCCTCCTGTATTTTCCAACCCCACTGAGCAATTACCCACTTCTAGGTTTTTGCACAGAGCATCATCCCTGTCTGGTTAACTTGGAGAATTTCTGATTGTCCATAAAACTCCACTCAGGCAAAGAATGGCTTTCATCTTCTTCCCTGTGTGGGGAAGGGAGAGGGGAAGAAGTGAGGGTCTGTCCATAGGCAACCTGGTGGTCCTCAAAAGGGGGACTGAAGCATGGTGTGTGAGGTGGGGACATACCCCCTCAGTTGCCACATGCAAACCACATACTTTAAGGCATTGGTTCCCAAGAACAACCTCTCTGAGCCTCAGTTTCCTCATCTGTACAACCATAAAGGTTTTATTATCAATTACCAACAAATATGTATTGAGTGCCTACTACATACCAGACCAGACACTGCCAGTACCCAACATATAATAAAGGCTTAGCCTCAGAAAAGCAGGACTCATGAAGGTGGCCAGTGCCTAAATTTTCACTCTAATTACTATAAGCTGCTAATGACCAGGCTATGCATGAGACTTTTTCTTAATAATTTTTTGTCTCTTTTGCCCTCTCTCCTTCCTCCTCCACCCTTACTTGCTGTTGGGCATTTCAAGAACATGGAGCCAAGTAGAGAAGGGAGCCCTTCTGCTTGAAATTCAAGAAAATTGACAAATTTCAAACTGCGGTGGCGGAAGTGAGGCCATGGAAAAGCAGACATCTGCATCAAAGACGACCATCCCTTTGACACAGCAGTCCTGGGGATGCCATGCTCTCTCTCCTCTTCGATCTGGAGGAAGTGAGAAGCTGGATGCTTCCACAAGGGAATTTGGAAGTGTGAATAGGGAAATTGGATGATAAGGGGTGATATTTTCTTTTGATCACTGCATTTACCCAAATTACCTTGAACAAGTACTTATTGCTCTTTTAAAACATCTTTTCTTTTTCTGATACAAGCTCGTTGAAAAGCAGCAACTCAAACATAATTCCTGTCATAGGAGGGAAAATTGGTTTTCTTTCAAAGTCAGGCCAAAATCATATGCATTTGTCAACCCATATTCTGTGACCTAGTATCTCTTTATCTCTATCCCCCACTTTACAAACACCATCTCCAATCCTTAAACAGCACCGTGCGCAGGTTTGATTATTTCCATCTCATAGGGAAGAACACTAAGGCTCAGAAGCGGGGGGAGCTTGCCCAGGGCGCACAGTTGCGGGTGGGCAAGGTCCTTCAAACACCAAAAACCTTCCCTTCCAACTGTGCCCCACGGGGACGGGCGAGATCGTGGCCCCAGCCCTGACCAGCCCTCACACCCATCTCCACAGCCTCCATGTACTCAGAGATCCAGAGGGAGCGGGCAGACATCGGCGGCCTGATGGCCCGGCCCGAGTACAGAGAGCGGGACCCGGAGCTCATCAAGCCCAGGAAGCTGCTGAACCCGGTGAAGGCCTCCCGCAGCCACCAGGAGCTGCACCGAGAGCTGCTCATGAACCACAGAAGGTGGGAAGAGGCTCACGGCCTTCACCTGCAAGCACCTCTGCAGACCTGCTGGGACCTGGGAGGTGCCCCAGTGGGCAGCAGGCCTGGCCCTCATCCTGGGGCTCTGGGAGGTTGAGGAGGGCCTAGGGTGCTCCACATGGTCACCTGCAAAAACCATGAAAGTCCAGTCCCCAAAGCCCTGTTCCCCCACCCAGTTACCTACTTCATGCCTGCTCTCCACATACAATTACTGAGTACCTACTACGTGCCAGGCACAGTGTCCAGACCTGGTTTTTTTAGGAGGTTTTACAGATGGAAGGGGACCCAGTTCCTGCCCTCCCAGAGGGGATGGATGGGTAACCAGGAGTGTGGTGAGTGATCTCTGGGGGCATAAATGGGCCTGGGACCCCAGAGGAGGCACTTGGGAGTGGTCCAAGATGACCTCACAGAGGTGATCCTCAGCTAAGGCCTGAAGGGTGGGCAGCATTCAGCCAGACAAGAAGGTGGAGGGAAGAAGGTTCGCAGCAAAGGAATGAGCACAAACCAGTGGACAGGAAACACAAGCAATGCAATGTGGCTGGAGCCCAGATAGTGGAGACATGTGGGCCTGGGGAGGGTCTCAGGCAGCGGGGGTCATAATCCTGGAGGGGTTATGAGCAGGGCAAAGAGGCCTGGGAATGCAGTGAGAAAGACAGGCTCGAGGTGGCTGGGCTGGGACTCAGTACTTGAGGGAGTGTAGAGATGGGCGGAGGGAAGCCGAGGCGTCTTCCCTGCTCAGCAGTATCAGGAGGGGTGGCACACATCGTCCCACGGCGCCCTCTACTGGCGGGCTCTGGTATTGGTGTGGGCTGGGATTTTCACTGCAGCTGTGTGCAGCAGACCCTCCCACAGACAGCATTTTGTATGCTCATGTTGTCTTCTTTCCCACTTAGTATGTCACAAGTATTTTCTCTGATTGCCTTTTAGAGTCACCTCTTTTAATGTAAAAAAAAAAATTGCTATAATTTTTTAAAACAAAAAGCCTAAAGACAAATCAGGGTAATATTTGCAATGTAAACAACTGACAAAAGTTAACATATACATATCTCTGATGAATTCATAAGGAAAAAAATGAACAAAAGGTAGGTGTAGTTAGTTCACAAAAGAAGAAACCCAGATTCTGTTAAACATCTCAAAGACTGTTCCATGTGACTAATAACCAAAGAAACACAAATGGAAACCAGTTATTATTTCCTGACTACCAGACTCTCAAATACAAACCAAGTGGATAGTGACAGTGGGGAGAAATAGACGTTCTTTACACTGATGACAGAAGTACAAATTGGATAACCTTTTCTAAGGAGCAGATGGGAATGTTTCCAAAATCTTTTAAAGGGCCTTACCCAGCCATTCCACTCCAGAACCTATCCTGAGACAATAACCAGAAATAACATAAAGCCAGGTCTCTGCAGTCAGACAGGCCTGGGTGCAAATCCTCCTTCCTCCCCTCTTAGTTGCAACTTGGACTGCTATCCTGAGCCCCAAGAGCTTCGTTTCCCTTCTCTGTACAATGGGACAGTAATGGTTTCACCTCTTAGGCTGCCAGGAGTCTTGTACGAGATAATGGTGTAGATTGGTGTCCCTGCAGGGTACAGCCCTGAGACTAGGGTGGGGGGCAGCTGGGGTCTCCTGACAGCACCCCCCACCGCAGAGGCCTGGGCGTGGACAGCAAGCCGGAGCTGCAGCGTGTCCTGGAGCACCGCCGGCGGAACCAGCTCATCAAGAAGAAGAAGGAGGAGCTGGAGGCCAAGCGGCTGCAGTGCCCCTTTGAGCAGGAGCTGCTGAGGCGACAGCAGAGGCTGAACCAGGTGGGTGGGGACACCCAGCCCTGGTCCTTGCCTCCTCCAAGACTGTCTCCTGGCCTGGGGAGGAACTGTGTGTGGCTACAGAGGGAGGAGATTGAGCAAAATAAGGACTGGACCAGAAGTCCACCCTGACCTGAGTCCTCACTGAGCCATTCACTTTGCTGTGTGACTTTGGGCCAATGACTTCCCCTCTCTGAACCTCAGTTTCCTTATCAACCCAACCTATTACATCCTGATTCTAATTTCATTCTCACAACTGTCCTACAAGCCAGGTGGTGTCCCCATTTAAGAGATGAGGAACCTGAGATCCGGATGAAGTAAGCTATTTGAACAAGGCTTCACAGAAAGAACTTAGTCTCATGACCAGTTCCCCCCAGCTACCAGGCTGGTGGCAAAACTGACCCCTGGTTCTGTTTCCCCATCAAGAACCTTTGGTCCAAACCTAGTGGCTTTCAAGAACAGGACTTCCTCTAGCCTCACCCACTTCACACCTCTGCTTCTCTCTCCTTCAGCTGGAAAAGCCACCAGAAAAGGAAGAGGACCACGCCCCAGAATTCATTAAAGTCAGGGAAAACCTGCGGAGAATCGCCACACTGACAAGTGAAGAGAGAGCACTGTAGAGCGGGCCGCTGGAGCAGCAGCCCCCGGCAGCCCCCCCCTCCGGCCCCACACCCTCCTCCACCTCCTGTATCTGGCAACCCGGGGTCTGGACCTTGGGAGATCTATGATGTTCATTCTTGCTCCTGTAAAAATGCATCACCCCAGAAGCTGGGGGCCCCTAAGCTCCCAGGCTTTTCCTTCTGAGCACTTATCCCTCCTGCTCCACGGGGAAGCCACTGCTACGAAGACTCTCACAAGGCACCTCTCCTTGGAGAGGCTTCTGAGCCCTGCCGAGATTTTTCTCGCAGTTGGGAAGGGAGGAAAGGCGCCTCCTCGTCCTGACAAGACCTCTATTCTGCCCAGGTCCCATGGGGCCCTGTTTCTCTGGGCAACCCAGCTCCCAGGTCTCAGAGAACTTTCCTGCCTGCGCTTTTGCCTGCAGCCAGGGGTGAGGCAGCTGCACGGAGCAGCTCCGGACACCCGCCTTGAAAGCCAGCTCGGCGCAGAACAGTCCCGGTTCAGCCCGTCCTAGGTGAGGAGGGCAGGCGGCCCACACAGTCATGGCGAGTGAGCAGGACTGACAAAGACAGCTTCTTGGAGGGTGCCAGCCTCTCCCCCACACCCGTGCTGCTATCTCCTCTGCACAGCTCTCCCTGTCTGTGCCGGGAAACCACAACAGGCCAGGGCCACAGCCTTCCTGCTTCCAGAAGTCTAGAACAGGTTTTCTCCAACTTCACTGTGCCTACGAATCACTGGGAGTTTTGTTTAAATATGGCATCTGATTCAGTAGATCTGGGATGGGGGCTGAGAGTCTGCATTTCTAACAAACTCCTAGACTGCTGGTCTCAGGACCACGCTGTAAGCAGCAAGGCTGGGGCACCCAGGTCGAGACACTAGAAACATCATCCCTGAAGCCAACTGTATCCCCAGCTCCCATGGACCTCTGCCCTAGGGGATCCCCCCCTCTGCAGCCCCAAGGGCTTTATTATCCACCCATCCAGGGACCCTGGGCCTAGGAGCACTTTTGTCTAGCAAATTGTGCTGGCTTTGTGATTGTTGTTTCCACTGCAGATGGATACAACTGCCAATCCACATTTCTTACTATACTGTTACAATGCAACTCTAGCCAAAAAAGAGATTTTTTTTTTTTTACCTTTTCCTAAAGCCTATGGAGAATAAATATACAGTGATTTCTAGTAGGCTTCTGGAGATATAAACAATGGTTTGAAAACCCCACTGCCACCCTTACAGACTGGCCCCTCCCCCATGTCCAGCTCAGCACCGGAGACCCACCCCCTACGGGTTCCACCGCCTCGGCCACTGCAGCAAATTCACCCATTCTTCTTCTTCAGATTCCCTTCCCTCGCGAGACCAGATGTTTGAATCTTCTCCTCCTATCCCAGTTCTAAAGAATAAACCAGGTCTGTTTCTTTTTTCCCTGAAGAATAAAATCCCTGCCTCTGGCTTTGTGAACCCATCACTTAAGGTGATAGGACAGTGTGAGAAAACGCACCCCCCAAAGCTGCCAGAGCTGGCTGCTTGATTCTTGGACCAAAGGCAGGACCTGCAGGAAGAAAGGGGGCCATCCTGGTCTTCCTCCCGAGTGTTTTGAAGGTGACTAAAGACGTCATCCTGGTGTGGAGCCAGCGCAGGGGTGTAAACAAGATATGCATGTGTGTGTGTGTGTGTGTGTGTGTGTGTGTGTGTGTGTGTGTGTGTGTGTGTAAGTCAAGCTCTAAAAGGCTTCTGCATGTGACTGTCTTGGTAAGAACATGGTGACAGTGTTTTAAATATCGGCCGAGTGAGGGTAATGCTAAAGATGCAGAATTCCCCAAAGAACTTGCCTTCGGGAGGTCTCTTTATATGGACATGTAAAGAGATGCCAGACAGAGGGTCTAGGATGGAGTAGGGCCTCCAAGGGAATGCTTTGGGATTTCACTCGGTGGTCCCCAGAGATGCTCCATGGAAGGGGCAAGCCATAAAGACAATGCCCCAGAATTAGAAGGGGCTTGAAGTGCCACGTTGTCCAGTGGAGCCATGACAGATACCCTCTCTCACAGCCCAACGGTCAGTCCCAACTCCTCCTCTCTGGCCACTCTCACTGTAGAGGTTATAAATCCAGATTCTCACTGTCCCAGCCCCACATGTAACCTGGGATGACGATGTGACCAGGTATGGCCAGTGAAATTTAAGAGGAAGTCTACAGGGGCTTCTGGGAAAGTCTATATTTTTCTGATAAAAGAGACAGCCATATGTAACACCTCCCAGCCCCTCCCTTCTTCCTGCCTTGATTGAGGATGTGATGCCTGGAACCACAGCAGCTATGTTGCACCAGTGAGAAAAAAGCCAAGAGAATCTGAGACATTGACCTTACCATAATTTGACCAAGCCAATGACAGCAGCCATCCTCTCCAGAACGTTTGTAAATAAAAATAAACACTCTTTGTTTAAGTCATTTTTGGCTGAGCTCTGTTACTTGAAGCAAAGAGCATTCCTAATTGACACAGAAAGCCAGCCCTGTTACGCAGCATTACCTGCAAACTACTGAAAATCCAGATTCGTCTTTCTCATCAGAAACCTATTGGATCCTGGGATCTGTTTTTTTTATACCTTCTCCACATAGCCTACATGGCACCAGTCTAAGAACCAGTATTTGGGCAACACTAATTCACACACCACTCAATAAGTATTTGTTGAGTGCCGGCTCTCTCTGCCAAGAAGCATGTCATGGGCTGGGGGCACCGTGGGAAACAAAACAGCTGGTTGACTGCAGTGGCCTCCTCCTAACTGGCCTCCTGCCTCTGCTCCTGCCCCTACAGCCTATTCTCAACAGGCAGCTGAAATGATCCCGTTAACATCTACGGCAGCCCTTGCTGCCGCTCTGCATAGAGCTCTCCACTGGCTCCCAGGAGAGTCCTCCCTGCCCCCTAGAAGGTCCTGTGTGTCCAGCTCCCTCTAAACCTCTGGCCTACTTCCCACTGCTCCCGCCCTCGTACCTGCCAGGCAAGCCCACCCCAGTGCCTTCCCACCTGCTGCCCCATGGCCAGGAGCGCTCTCCCCTCAGAGAGCCCCACAGCCCACTCCCTCACTCTCCAGGGCTTTCCCCATGCTCTTCCTAAACAAGGGCCCCCTGAGCGCCCCCATCTGAAACCTCAGTCTGTTCACTTCCTTTGTCTTCCTTCCTGCCTCCTTTTCCTCCTTACCGATTATCACCATCTACCACATTCTGTATTTTGCTTATTTATCTGGTTGTCTCTCCTGCCAATAATGTCAGCTCCATGAGAGCACAGATTTTCATCCGTCTTGTTTACTGCTGAATCCCAACCAGCCTTCCTCCCTCCTCCCCTGTCAGCAGGTGGCCCAGCCTGCGCCAATCTGGCAGAGTGGGCCCCAGGGGCGAGAATCCCAGCCCCATCCCACTCACAGCTTTGACAAAAGGCAGTGGCCAAAGAGGGCATCGGGAACATAGTAGGTACTTAATAAATGATTGTTGAATGAATGAATGAGTGCATGCTTCTACTGTAGTAAAACACCCAGCCTCCACCCAGGTTCAGCCCCTCCCATGGCTGCCATCCACCTGCTTCCTTCCTCTGCAATCTGACCCTGGCCCAGAGATGTCAGTTTGGGCCATGAGCATTCCTGTGGCCTCTTGGGCTTTCGTCAGTATTTTGTGCCTTCAGGACCCCTGTTGGAGCTGTGTGGCTTCTACATACCACTCTCTGGGTGTCCTGAGGGTGAGAACATCTCTGAAGGCAGAGGTCAGGCCACCACTTGGTCCCGGAGACCCTGGAGAAGCAAAGGGCTGCTCCAGCAGCTCAGATGTCAAGCCCTGCCCTAAATGGATGGCCAAGAGCAGCCGGCCTGTTCTCACTGACGCCACACTTGCTCACACCCCGAGACAAGTCCTGGTCACGTTTGGAGAGCATCCTCTTCAATGGCAGACCAGTGCAAACTACACAACGGGAGAGAAAGGGAAGATCCTCAGAGAAGGGCCCCCTCCTCCCCAGGTCTGCAGCGTGGGCTCCACGTAGCCCTCAGAGCCCAGGAAGGCTGGCAGCACAGTCTCGCCACATCTGAGATTGTATCATTTCCAGAGCCCACAAGGTCAGGGACCCTGTCTGTTTCTGCTCACCTTTACTCGTCCCAACCCAGGACTCTGTGCATAATACATCTTCAGAAATGGTGTGAATGGGCGTCAGTAATGCTCCCTGCATTTAGGAAGGACCAGCAGTGTCACTGCTCATGACAATTCGGTATCATACTCCTCATTTTGCAGATGAAGAAACCAAGGCTCGGGTGAGTCAAGGAACTTTCCAGAAGCCACAAAACAATACCCAAGAGAGGTAAGAGTCACAGAGTCTTCCAAGACTGCATTTTTCCACTGTAGCTTTAAGAAAGGGCTCAGAGAAGGCCCCTGTGCCATTCTGGCCTTTTGCCGTGAGATTCACCTTCCATTTGTCCTTCTGATCTCGAGGGATTTGGCCTCCACTTATAAAGACAGATTTGGGCCAACATAAACCAATGAAATCGGTGATAGAAATCTACGCACTGTCGTGGTCCCAGCCCTGATGGCACACCCCCCAGGCCCAAAGCCAGCCTGTCTTGGAGACAACCAGCAGGTCAGACTCCTGGCCCCTTGAAGGACTGGACCTATGGCTGAGCAGTGGCCTAGACAATTTGATGCTTCGGTGACCCCAGAGACCCACCAATGCCCGGGCAGAGCCTGCCTCACAGAACAGAGCTCTCACCCTCCCAGTGGCGGACTGCCCTCCCCTCAGCCTGCCATGACTACCTGAGTGGATGATCGTCCGGTCCTCCCCCAGAAAACATGGCGCTGGGCTTGTTCTCCAAAGCCGGCCCTCTCGTTAAGTACGCCTGTCTACCTCCCAAAAGGGACTTGAAGAGAGAAGGACTGCCCAAGGCAGGACCCTGGCAACTCTCCTGGGCTACCTGGCAACAGCTAAGCAAGCCAGGACTCCCCATCCAGGGAAGGGCTTCCCATGGGATCAGGGCTCCTAAGCTTGCTGTTTTGGGTGCCTGACCTAAAACGCTCCTTCCCCCTGCCAGGCCAGCATCAGAATTACCCCCACAGAGGATTAATTCTGTGCCCAGACCTGGACTCAAGCCCCAGCTCTGCCAGTCACTACTAGTCACAAGCCTGGGCAATTTGCTAGACCACATTTTCCTGTAATGTGCAATGATATGGGTGGCAACAATGCAGAGAATAATACCTATACTTTAGTGTCTGTGCCAGAGACTAGGCTAAATCTCTTATATTAATTCTCTCCCTTAACCCCCCAGGAGACTCCAGTCAGCAGGTGGAGGAAGGAAGATGTGAACCCACGTCTGCCTGCCTGAGCCCACACATTTACCCAGGCAGCATCTGTTGGTGGAGGCTGCAGGAAGATATTTTGCAAAGCGCCCACATTCAAGCCTTCCCATCTGTTGCCAGAAACGTTCTGCAAGCGTGCTGAGGACAAATGGCCTTCCTCCCTCCTTCCTGGCCAGCAGGTGGCCCGGCCCACAGCAGTCTGGCAGAGTGGGCCCCAGGGACAAGAATCCCAGGCCATCCCACCCACAGCTTTGAGGAAAGGCAATGTCCAAATGGGACACAGGGGTTCACATGCCTGACCTTGGCCCAGGAAGTTTGGGGAAGGAACAGGAAGAAGAGGAACATGCATTGAGTACCACAAGCCTGGCAGACCCCGAAACATGGGAGAACAGAGGTAAAGTGCCCAGCCTGGCACATTTCAAGGGGTGGAAGTTCCTTCTCCTTCTCTTTCTCCCCCCTCAAAGATACCTGGCAGGTGGGCCAGCATCCAGCTCTGCCACCTGCCTGATGGCCAACATTGGACAGGTACTTAACATCTCTGAGTCTCTCATGAATTAAACAAGGGTTCCAATAGTTCAGCCTTGAGGGTTATCAGAGGGCTGAGCTAATAAGTACAAAATGTTTGGCACATGCAGGCACAGGCCTACCCCCATTGAAGGTTCATTTTGTCTTCCCTTTTCTCATTGGCTTTACTCTGTCACATGTGTCACCCAGGTCCTATGTCCACTCATTTCTCTTAGTTCCCAGGCTGATCTGGCATCCATCCCTCCCACAGGGCTGACCGCCCTCTAAATCCCCTGCTCTTCTCCCAGCTCCCGTTTTTTGGGAGAGGTGTCACCCCATATCATCTCACACACCAATCTAAATTGAGGGACATTCTAAAAAACACCTTCAAAGTATCAAGGTCATAAAAGACACAGAAAGATTGAGAACTGGAGGAGACAGGACAGTGAAGTGAAATGTCAGATCCTGGATCGGATCCTGTCCCAGAAAAAGGACACCTGTAGGGAATCTGGCCAAACGCAATATGCAGTAAATGCATGGATTTACTCAGCAGGATTTCAAATGCTGAGCATGCACATGACCCTGGACAGCTCCTGGGAGACAGCCTCTGAGTTGCTGGAATATCCTGCCCGAAAAGGGCGTCTCTGTATACCTGGGATCTTGGGCCGTGCCAGGCAGTTTACACTGACAACGTGATTCCTGTGGGGCCACAGGCCATGCCTCATCAGTCTGCTCTCTGACGGGTGAAGCCTGAGCGGCGAAGGTCGGCCACACCAGCATCCCATACATCTGTGACTGATGCCCGGTAGCCCTGGGGACCGAGGATCCCCACCTGGCGAGCTTCCCCGGGTCTCATGTTGTCACCCAGGGAGAGCTGAATGCTGTTCATACGGTTCCACTGGGAGGGGGTCGCTGGAGGCTCATCGCTGGTCTCTCTGGACCCCACCCTACCTGCCTCTTTCCTTGGCTGAGTTTCAGCCGTAACCTTTAACAATAATAAACCATAGCGCATGAGTATAGGAGCTCTTCGGAGTTCTGCGAGTCCTAGCAGATCATTGAACCTTGGGTTGATCTTCGGGACTCTGACACCCTCATGTAAGTTCTCAAGATGAGTTAATAGTATTGCATCAGTGTTAATTTCTTGGCTTCAGTAACTGCACTACAGATATATAAGCACTGGCATTAGAGGAAGCCGAGTGAAGGGTATACAGAAACTCTTAAATATTTTTTGCAACTTTCTGAAAATCTAAAGTTACTTTTAGATAAAAGATCAAAAACAAAGCATAGGGAGATGTGAGATGATAATTGTTAAAGCTGGGTATTAGGTTCCTGGGGGTTCACTACAGGGTTCTCTCCACTTTGTACCGGTCTGGAATTTTTCATAATTAAACAACTTTTAAGCTAGAGAGTTCAACAGCCTGCTGCAACAAACTGAAGTGATTACAGTCAAACAAAGAGAGCAGGGCCAGCTCCAAAGCTGATGCAGAATCTATTTAAACACAGAATTTATCAAACATTAAAAGACCATCAGAGTTTAATCTCAGTACAAACAAGATGTGGAAACTATGGCACAGAGAAGTTAAGTAACTGCCCATGATCTGTGAAGCAAAGGCCTTGGTAGAGGCCAGGCTGGAACCCAGGACTTTCCCTCCTAAAACAACAGAGTCAAGGCCATCGTCCCAGAGCCACTGCCAACAGCGACAGGAGAAATGGGGCATAGGCTCCCTGGTCCCAGCAGGACCTGGGTCATGTCTCAAATTTGGGTCCTGCCTTGTATTCAAGACACAAGCTGGACACTACTGGGGACTATGATGGGGAGTTGTGAAGCCCCTTAGTGAGCGAACATTCCACATCACAGATGAGAAGGCTGAGACTCAGGAGCGGAGAGCGCCTGTGCAGTTACCACATCCCAGAAGTCCTGTCCTGCAGGTACCCCGAGTCTCCTGACTTCTTTCCCAGCCTTGTGTGATGGGTTAAGAGCCAGTGTTCATTATAAGAAGACCCAGTTCAGATTCCTGCTCTGCAATCCACTTCTTGTGCAAATCCACTCAAGTAACAAGCCGTCTCGGAGCTGATTTCCTCCCCTATAAAATGGGGAGATTCCCATCCCGCTCGCCAAGACCTGGTGCCCCTCTGAGTCCCACCCCACCAGAGCGCAAGGCACTGCACGTACTCCAAAAACATCTGTCGGGAACGATGGGAAGAGGCAAACGAATACTAACGCTAAGCGTAAGAAAAGCCAACTTTTAGAGCAGCAACGTGGGACAGAGGAAAACCATTCACCCCAGGGAGCAACTCTTTCACAGAAAAACCACATGTGGAGAGCCTTTTAAGCTCTTTGGATATTAACAGCTTGAATTCCTGAAGTGCACAGGATGGCAGGAGCCATCGGGAGAGTTGGGGAGAGGTGGCAAAAAAAACCAGGATCACTTTGGAAACACAGCTGGGTACACAGCTTTTTGGTACAAGCTGTCCCAGAGGAATGCCCAGCTTTGAGACTGGAGGGCTGGGCTTCATGTCAGCTGTACGCATGTGTGCAAACAGGGTGGGGACACAGACACATACCAACCCCCACCTTTTTTTCTAACGTGCTAAAACTCCAAAGTCCATTCCCAATGTTGGCCCTGACCTTGGGGTAGATCATCATGACAGCTCGTGCCAAGCTTTATTAATTCATATTTGCTGAACACCTTCCTGGGGCCGGGTCCCAGACTGGGTCCGCGACTACATGAATGACCAAGAGCAATACTGAACTCGCCTTCACTGGTGATTTTCATAAAAACACAAGAAGACAAAATAGCACCTTGCAGTAGGTGCACCAAGGGTGTGTTGTCTTTTTTAAAACGCCACTTGTGATGTCGAATGTGTGGTTTTCCACACAAAGTCTCCAATTCTCTCACACCAGCTGGGTGTCTGACAATTCAAGTCAATTCTGACACTAACTCTTGGAGTCAGTGCAGACCCCATAGGTTTCAGGCTCAGTCTCATAAGGTGGCCTCCATTTCAGACAACTGCAAATCCTACCAGCTATAAATTCAGGAGTTCCCACAACCCCCTCCCCTCGGCCCAGTAATTTGCTAGAATGATTCACAGAACTCAGGAAAACACTTAAGTTTGCTAGTCTATGATAAAGGCCACTACACAGGAACAGCCAATTGGAAGAGACGCAAAGGACAAGAGATGGGAAGGGCACACCCACGCTGCCCCAGCACCTTCATGCATGCACCAACTCAGAAGCTCCCCAAACCCTGGTGCTTAGGGATTTTCATAAAGGTTTCATTATATGGGCACAGCTGATCAAATCCCCAGCCACTGGTGCTCAGCCCAGCCCCAGCCCCTCTCCCCTCCCTGGAAGTTTGGCTGGGAGGTGATGGTGGGGGAGGACTATAAGTTCCAACTAAGGGTTGGTCTTTCTGGCAACTGGCCCCCCTCCTGCAGCTATCTGTGGGCCCCTAGCCATACCAAAGGGCAATCTTATCACTCAGGAGATTGCAAGGGTTTTTAGGAGCTCTGCCAGCAACTGGAGACAAAGATTAAATATGTGCAAAAAATATGTTTTTTATTATTATTATACCACAAGAGCCAAGAGCTTGGAGCTAAGAACGCAGGTCCAGAAGCTTCCAATCCAGACTGGAATGACTTCCCGAGAGACTGTAACATGTATAGTGACAAGAAAAGATAAAGGGGAGCTGAAGAGATAAAGCAGGGGCCTCGGGCCAGGGGAGCAGGAAGAGAGGGCGACATCATACGTTCATCAGAAGTGGTTGTGCGTATCCTGCCCAGGTTTTCCTGTTCAGCCCACCTGTGATGAGCTGTCCCCAGCAGCCCCCAGCCCCAGCCTGGAAGCTTCCCCAGGACAGGGCACTAGCTGCTTGGTTTTGCTTAGCTTTTGCTTCCTGCTACACCCTGCTGCTTAGATCACTGTGGGCACTCAAAAATACATGCTGATGAATAAACCAATCCGTGCATCCTACACTTCCTAAGCCCTCACATGCCTGTCCATAAATATCTCACCAGCAGACCACCAGAGACTCGGAAATTCCATTTAACATCCCTCCTAGGCATTAAGAAATTCTCTTAAGAGGAATCAAGAAAGTGGTAATAATCTGAACTTACAAATTATGGGGATTTACAGTTCACCAAGAGCTTTCCTTTATACCCCAGGGCCTTTATAAGGGGAGGGGAGCTTAGAGAGGTACAGTAACCCACAGTCACCCTTCCAGGACCAGGACTCAGCCTCTGGCCCCGGGCGGGGCCCGGGGTGTTTCCTCGGGCAGAACGAAAGTATGCGCACTGTTACCAGGCCCAGGCTCAGGGAGGGCGGGCCAGAGAGGCAGGAAGAGTAGGACAGCGGCCCCAGGGCTGGCACCTACTCAGCCGCCCCGGAGGCTGCCGAGAGGTCCACTCTGCTTCAGCCTCAGCAAATACCCCAGGGCAGTCCCGGCGCTGGGCACACTCCACAGGGGGAGTGGAGGAACAAACAGCATCACCTCGGCGCAGCGGAGTGCTGAAAGCTTGCCAGGGAGCGCTTTGTTGCCTATGCTCCAGCCTCTCTAGGGGAGGAGGAAGGGGCTGGGCCACCAGCAGAGGGCCTGCCTAGGTCTGCAGCTGGAGATTCCAGGCAGGCCCAGAGCACAGACGCAGGACAGAGGTGAGTCGGGCAAGCTGGGGGCAGGAGAGCGGGGGTATGGGAGACCCCTGAGGTCAAGACCACCCTTCCCACCGCTCCTAATGACTCAGCACTGCTGTCTTACATTCAACACCTATTTACTGGATACTATCTGCGGGCCGGGCCCTGTGCTGTTCCAGCTACAGGACATATGAAAAAGACCCTGCCCTTGCAGAGTTTACCTGGTAATGGAGGGGACAGAAATAGCCATGGGGGGTGGGGACGGGCAGAAGAGAGGAGACAGGCTGGGTGGCCTTGCAGGGATCCAGGAGGCACATGATGGGGGCTCCCTGAATGCGCCAGGCCCCATGTCAGCACCCCCACGGCCCTGCCACCCACTTAGGTTTAGACGCCTGCGTATGAATCCCATTGGCTTCATATGGCTGTGTGACCTCACAGCATCCTGTCCTCTCTGTAAAATGGTAATAATAAAAATAGCATGTCTGTAGGGTTGTGGTGAGAAGAAAGGGGATCCAGACAGTGGTAGCAACAGTTTCCAGCATGCCTCCTCCTGCTAGGCTCTGGGGCCCACGAGCAAGCAGACAGGAAACACTCCGCATTGCCCACTCTGATCACCCACTGGGGACACCAAGGGGTGCTCAGTCCCCTAGAGGGGGCTGCTACCAGGAAGGCCTCTTAGAGAATGGGTCTCTGGAGGCTGGGGCTCACGAGGAGCACAGGGCAAACAGTGGGGGCAAAGGGGAGGAGGAGAGTGAGGAGGCTTGGGTGGGGTCTCAGCTGACCCAGGCAGGGGGCCAAAGGGGTGGCAGGTGGTTGGAATGGCAGGGAGTATGAGCTCCACGCCACAAACAGTGGGCACCAAGGAGCAAATGCCAGGCAGGGAAGGGAACCAACGTGACTGACGTTTGAGAGCCCACCCGGCAGCCAGGAGGACAAACAGAAGCAGTGAGGCCCGGTGAGAGATGATGGTGGCCTGGGTGGGGACCATGGGGATGAGCAAATGGATCTGAGAGACTCAAGAAATAGAGTAGACGGTACCCGGTGGTTGCCTTGTTGTAGGGGAACAGGCGCTCCTAACAGGCTGCATGTGTGCTGCAAAGGATGCAGGGTCCACCCTGACTGTGGAGGACACACAGGGGCTCCAGGGGCAACACTTCATAGGCAAGGAACAAGCTCCCTGCCCTCAGTTCTACAAAATCCCTCAAGCTCACAAAAACGGCCTGAATGAGCCCAGGACTTAGGGGACCAGATGAATGGGACCACAGGACCCCAACAAGCCCCCTGGTGGGGCTGTGGCATGCACAGACCCCATCCAACTCTTGGCCACCTTCACCTGTGTATGTAGAAGCCAAACACTTTACCTCTTTAAGATTACCTTTCTTCATGCATGACTTTCGTTGGCTTGTAAGATTTCCCCAGACAATGCTTAGAACTCAAACTGCAGTGGGCAGAACACAAGCTGTGTAATCACACCTTGTGCAAATCTTAGCTAACATGCACTGAACCACCATTTTACTGAGCAGTTGCTACATGCCTAGACAATGCCTGGCACACAGCCAGCACATGCCCACAGGGAGGAGTGTGGGGGTGGAGTGGCACTCAAATACTCAGGGCAGTTGCTTTCCTTCACCCAGCAGCCCCTGGCTGACACTCAGCCCTGGGCAGTTCCTTCTGTGTACAGGTTCTTAGCACTGCCCAGACACCAGGCAGATCCAGGCTGAGATGGGCAGCCCAGTGCACCGAGTGTCGTTGGGGGATACCTGGAGCAGGCAAATGCACCCCGACATAGAGAGCGAGAGGTACATTCAGTCCTTTGATGTGGAACAGCTCACGAACATCCTTGATAGAGGTGCCCAGAACACTGCCCTCCGGAGGAAAGTCGGTAAGAGGAAGCTGGGAAATGGAGTACCTGTTTAGTGCCCTGTGCTTTTCTTGGAAGAAGAGTCCTTGACTAGCAGCCCCACCTCCAAATAACAAACTTTGCTCTCAAAATTCCACTGTTAGAGATTCATGCCTTTGGACTGTAAAGGCATCTTTAACATGTCAATATTCCCTGAGCCCATCTGAGGGACAGAAGAGTCCAGGCAATGAAAGACCTGGATGCTGGTCCTCTTCTGCTACTGCATCACTTTGTGACCTTGAGCAAGTCACTTTCCCACACTGGGCCTCAATCATCACATCTGTAAAATGACAGTAACATCTGACTTCCTTTCCATGTACATGAGGCAAGCAGATGGGAAGATTTGAAGGTGCCAGGAACCTCACCCTGCTGTCTAAGCCCTCTGTTCTCTGTCCCTGGCAGAAAGCATCATCTACAGCAACCCGGAGTTTAGCCCAAAGGATAATTATTTCATGACCCAGAATGAACATTACGAGGCCGCTGTCCGGAAGACATTCCACATCCAGATGATAGCGCAGCGCCTGGGCTGGGCAAAAGACAGTCTTGAATTACGTTATGCTTACAGGTGCTCACTCCCAAGGCAACCCCCCCAGAGAGAAGTTCACCTGGGATTATCCAGAAACCTCTAGCCCTATGAGCTATATTCCCCCAAACAGGCAATACTTTTCCTGGGAAACCAGAATGCCATATGGCTCTCCCCTACTGCATCCTATCAGGCCGATGGTACCTAGGCCCCTGTTGCCAATGGGCTGCTCAATCCCCACGTCTCTCTCCCACAGAGCCCTTTCTGGAGTCCTGGCCTTCAATTTACACCGAGTCTTCCTGATAGCGCTCAGGAGCCTGGGATCAGAGGAGCAGATTGACAGATGGGTCCCGCTCTGCAACAACTTCCAGATCATCACAACGTACGCCCAGACGGAACTGGGACACGGTGAGCCAGGGCTGCTGCGTGCAGTGCACAGGCCGTGCGCTCCCCAGTCCCAGAGGCCCCATTCACACGGCAGCAGCCAGACTGTATATTTCATATGAAAACGTTCCTGCAGGTGGCAGTCAAGGGTCTTGAGGAGCAGCTACCTTTCTCTAATTTACATGAACATACTGTAAGAGCTAGTGGGGAATACGGGCTCCTTCTAGAAATGTCAGTATCCCTTTGTCATAGGCTGGCCACATGTCCCCTGCGCAGATCGGGGTGAAAGGAGAGAAATGCCTATGGGTGAACTTTGGGAGCCGCCCCGACTGCATTCCAAGCTGGTGCCTGAGAGGCCCAGGTCGGCCTCGTCTCTAGATGCTGCTCCCTAGGTGAGATTCTTGCCCAATGTCTAACTCCCCTCCTTGATTCCAAGGGACGTATCTTCAGGGCCTGGAGACTGAAGCCACCTACGACGCAGCCACCCAGGAGTTTGTGGTACACAGCCCCACAATGACTGCCACCAAATGGTGGCCTGGGGACCGTGAGTATCCATCCACCCCCCACCCCCATCCGCCCCAGGGAGAATGAAGCCAGAGAGAAGAGCACTATCAGAGCTCAGACTGATTCCCTGTTTAGGCTGGTGACCCTGGGCAGGTCAGTTCATGTCTCTGAGCTTCATGTTCTTAGTCTGTAAAATAGGGACATGGAGAATTTCATCAGTGAGTGGCTGGGAGGCCCCCACGGGAACTTTGAAGTAGCTGAGGAAGCCAGCCTAACTTTGGGGGTGTGGGGAAACAAGGCTCTTACACACACACACACACACTGTCTCCCTCCTCCTACACACCCTGGGCCCAGTCCCAGGCACTCCCCATAAAACCCTAGGTCCTCTTATCTCCCAAGCTAATGATTAAGCTCGCCGCGGGCCAGAACACAGGGTCCCTACAATCACAGTTGGTGAGAAACAACATCCCTCACTGCTCCAGAGCCACCGGCGCCTCCCGCTGTGGCCACCAGGTGGCGACCGCACTGCGCTTCCCGAGGCACTCTTCCCCCCGTTTGAGAATATACCTCTGAGGCCACGACCGTGGCACTTTGGGACTCATTCAGTGAACATTTATATGGAAAAGAAATACAACAAATGTACGGAGTCCAGTGAAAGCAGGAAGAGAGAGAAAGAGGTGAGAGAAAAGACACAGGAACGCAAGAACCCAGAGAGCAGAGAGCGAAGAGGGGAGAATAGGAAGGCCAGCTGTCAAAACCACAACCGTGTAGAGGAGAGAAACCAGCTTCTGAAATCAGGCTTAAATCCCAGCTCTGGCCCTCCAGGCCAGTGACCTCGACTGTGTCACGCCTCCCTGAGCCTGTTTCCTTACCTGGAAAACAGGACTCATCATACCTGCCCTGCAAGAACTGGAAAAGCAACAGCACAGGGTCTGGCACCACCTGGACTTTGATCAGCGGTAATTACCTGCATTCATTATTAGGTTGATGGCAGAGTGATTAACAGGTTTTTGAGAACAGAAAAAATAAAGGCTTGCTGCCTTCACGGTGCCTTCTGCAAGTCCCTGCAAGGGTGAGGGCGGCTCCCCTCCCTGTGTTCAGTGACCTTTTGAGGCCCCCAAAGAGCCCATCAGCCGTGATGGGGGCAGCGAAGTCCACGTCTCCTTGTGATTCGGAACCTGCCGTGGATTCTGGCAGACATACCCCAGCAGTTCTGTCTCCTTCATTCCAAAGGAAATGACTCAAGGGCACACACTTCAGCCAGAAGATCACAGTAGAACCAAATTTTTATAGATCCCAAGCTTTCCCAGATTGTTCCATTTGAGCTGTTTTCATTAAAATCTATAACCTTTGTCAAGACTTGCCTTTGGAAGAGAGAGGCCCCGGGGGCATGGAAGGCTTTGGTCCCCTCAAGATCTCCATCAGCCTCCTTGAGCCTCCCCACTCCTACCCAGGGTGGTTGCACAAACCTGACATTTAGACGGACTCCCTGCACCTCCAGCCACCAGGTGGCTGCCCATAAATCCCTCCAACCCAATGCATTCTAGAGCCAGACACATTAAAGCTCTTTGGGTGGTTCCAGGCATTTCCAGGGATGCGTCAGACCGTGTAAGTCAAGGGTTGTCCTTGATAAGCAACTCTGCTGCCCTGGACACCACCTGCCCCACTGCTTGTCCCCACCAAACCAATCCAGTCCCCCCGCTGCTGCACATACAGCCTTGCACCCTGTCCCTGTGTGGTTCCCTGGAAATACCTTTCCCCTGCAGTGCACCCTCCCTAACCCACTCCCCTGAGGCCAATTGGACAAATCCCCAGCCCAGCCTCACGGAGCGCCCTGCCCTGCTGTTTGGTATCACAGCGGGCACGGGCGCACATCCAGGTTCCTGGTGGGAGGTGGCCTGTTCTGCTCCGTGCACCAGGATCATGCTAGGCCTCTCATCTCTCTGCCCTCAGTGGGACGGTCCGCCACCCACGCCCTGGTCCTGGCCCAGCTGATCTGCTCAGGAGCCCAGAGGGGCATGCATGCCTTTATCGTGCCCATCAGGAGCCTCCAGGACCATACCCCACTGCCGGGTAAGCCTAGGCTGCTCCCTCCGGGGCCCTGACGGGAAGAGGCCCCGCCAGACCTCACTCTCCTGAGACCCCAGAGGCCCATGGGAGAAGCTGGGACATGTCTCGCTTGGGCAGAGAGGTGTCCAGCTGGGTAGACTGGGTGCTTACCAACTGGGTGGAAACTTGATCAAGATTCAGCACCTGTCTGACCTCAGCTTGGTCCCCTGCAGAACAGGTGTAATAACCCATGTCACAGGTCACTGAGACTCAGATGGGCTCAACAGTAAGCACTCAACTGACACATGTTCCCATGCCCATCTCCTTCTAGGAATTACTGTTGGAGACATCGGGCCCAAGATGGATTTTGACCACACGGACAATGGCTTCCTGCGACTAGACCACGTGCGGATCCCCAGGGAGAACATGCTGAGTCGTTTTGCACAGGTGGGGGTCCTGGGGAGGATGCACGCCTGCACTGCCAGCAGGGGGCACCGTGGCTCACCAGAGACTGCTGCTAGCTCTGGGTCCTCCTCCATGGCGCTGAGCTCGGGGTACCACCCTCCTCAGAGAGGCTCTGGTGTTGCCCAGACCTGGGTCAAAACCCCAGCTTAGGACTATATGATCCTGGGCAAGTCATGTGATCTCCCTGAGCCTCAGAGTTCTCCTGGGTAAATCTCCCTCATGGGGTGGCAGAGCAATCATGGGGTGGGACGGCGAGGCTCTGAGGAGAAGGGGAGTGGGCTGGGGTGACGGGCACACCGACCTACAGTGCGTCCAGACATGCCCACTCTTGGAGCAGACAGGCCGAGCGATGCAGAGAGCTCTGGCGGGTCCCCATCTGCCAGGTATTACCCCTGGCTGAGGACTATGGGGAGGTCCACGGTGTCCCAGGACAGGAGATGTGAGCCAAGCTGATGGGCTACCCAGCAACAAGCATAGATATGTTTCAGTTTTAGCATCCAGCACGGCCCATCCCATGCGTTCTGGCTAACGGCTGGCAGTGCATACTTCAGGGGGAGCAGTCGGGGCCCAGGTGCCCGTGGGGCATGGAGGCCCACAGTTCTGGGTATGGGGCAGGCGGGGAGCCTTGGCTCACACCCAGTGCCTGTCCCTGGTCCCCCAGGTCCTGCCAGATGGCACCTACATCAAGCTTGGGACAGCACAGAGCAACTACCTCTCCATGGTGGTGTTACGGGTGGAGCTGCTGCTGGGCGAGATCATCCCCCTGCTGCAGAAGGCCTGCGTCATCGCCACCCGCTACTCGGTGGTCCGCCGCCAGTCCCGGCTCCGGCCCAGGCAAGGGGTGGCTGGAGGCTGACCTCCACAGGGATGGTCTCTGCTGGACCCAGCCCATCTGGTGCTATTGGGGTGGGGGTGGGGCGGTCTTTCTCTGGATCCCTCTAATCTTGGCTGATGGGATGACCCACTGACCCGACCTGGGTCTGCCAGTGTCTGGTCCCTTCGGGCTTGGTGTGAGCGTGTGTCTTTGCCCTGTGCCACCAGGCCTCTCACGGTCAGAGGCCAGCGGGGTCCTGACGGAGCTTGTGGTGCTGAGGCTTCCCCCTGGCAGTTCTGGTCCTGCTAAATGACCCTGGGCCACTCCCTGCCCTCTCTGGACTTCAGTTTTCACACATGTGAAGAGTGAATCATCAGGCCAGAACTGGAGAGCACCCAGTGCACTAGTCTGGTGTGGTTTCCTGCTAAGGGCTCAAGGATCTGGAAGCCTAAGTGACTGAGGGTCGGATACCACCCCTCAGCTGAGCCCCTGCCGGCCGGGGGAGCTTAGGCTAGCTGCCCCACCTCTTGGTCCCTCAGCCCCTCATCTACAAAACGGGCCTGACAGGCATCTTTGCGGGTGGCGTGGAGGGTGAAATGCAGTCAAGCACGCCAGGCCCCCACTCTGGCACACCTAGGCACCCTCAGCCAACCTGGGCTTCAGAGTCCCAGGCTACAGGACCTTGCCGGGAGGACAGGGACGCTGGGAAGGTGCTACCCAGGATGTCCTGTCTGGAGCCGTTTTCTGGGTTGCCGTTGTGTCCCAAGGATGGTTACAATACATGTGTCCAGGCGCGGAGCTACTGACCCCAGGATTCTCCCCATCAGCCATGGCGGCTTCTCACATTCACACTTTCTTTTCATCCACAAGCAGTTACCACATGCCCCTACAAGGAAGACACAGTCCCTACCTTGGGATTCCACCAGACCCAAGTTCACAGCCTGAGAGTTACTGATTAGGCCCAACATATTTCCCAGCACACGGCAGGTGCGTCTGGACAAAGGTCAAGGTTCAAATCATCCAGGTTTGATTTGAATCACAGGCCACAACCCATTACCCCAAGTCCTTGAGACCAGATGTTCTTGGGATTCAGCAGTTTCCAGCTTTGGGGAGGATAATCTAGTGCACACGCTGGACTTTTGTAAGCCTCCCTGACAGGGGCAGCACCCATAAGCAAACAGACCAATATTTCTGGTGACTGTCATATTAGAGGAATTTCAAAATCGTCACTAGCCACATGTCAATTCAGGTCAAGTTTTGCAATGCGTCCTAAAACACTGTCCATTTTTAAGGCTTTTATGGCAGTGGAGCTGCGGGAAGGTGGCTGTGGCATGGAGTAGTCTTCTCAACTTTTCTTCCCCTCAGCGACCCAGAGACGAAAATCCTGGACTACCAGACCCAGCAGCAGAAACTCCTCCCGCAGCTGGCCACGGTCTACGCATTCCACTTCCTGGCGGGCAGCCTCATGGAGTTCTTCCAGAGCTCCTACAGTGCCATCCTGCACAAAGACTTCAGCCTCCTGCCCGAGGTGCCTGTTGTCCGCAGGGGCCAGGGACTGGGAGGGCAGCTGCAATGGTTCCACCACTGGGAAATGGCGCCGGTCCCCCTCAGGGGCTCCTTCAGCCTCCCCATCCCCAGCCTTACAGTATCTCAGGGTAAACTACACCCCCACATATAATCCCACCCACATCTGGCCCCCAGAAAGCTCCAAAAACGTTAGCAGAGATAATCGCACACAGTGTACAGAACATAGGCACACAATCCCTGGTGTGCATTTGAAACCCAAAAAGCTCTGAAAACTGAGGACCTTTAGCACTCATTCGGTGGCACGGTTTGACTTGCACCAATCTGATCTACCCCACTGAGTGTGAATACATTTTGCAGCAGAAGCATTAATATGTTTGATCATTACAGCTGGCCTAGACTCTTCTAGGGGTTTTATATACCTATCTTAAATGCCCTGCTTTATCTTTCTAAAATTCAGAAAGTATTCTGGGTCCCTAAGGGTCTCAGATAAAGGACTGTAGACTTACAGATACACTAAGCTTTTTAAGCTTTAGTGTGTCCAGGCCCTGTGCTTTACAAGCATTGCTTCATTAATCCAGCTAAACAGCAGGCACCGTTTATATACTCATTTTACAGATGAGGAAAGTAAAGCTCAGAGAGGCTAAGGGTCATGACCTTCCTCCAGGACTTAAAAGTCTAAAGGGCAGATAAGGGCTTTCCAGAAACCAGGTCAGTTGCCTGGCAGACCCCCTACAACCCAGAGCAGTGGGTTAACGGTGGACCTCCATCCTCATAGGCCAGCTCTCCAAAGCCTCCGCTTGCCAGCAAAATCCACAGCTCCAGGATGGTGGGGAGCCTGACCCAGGAGGCCTCCTCTTCCCAGGACCCTGGACACACAAGCCTGGACAGTTTTCCTTTGTTCTTATTGCCCCTACAGCTACATTGCCTCATTGTATGACCTTGGGCAAGTCACATAACCTGTCTTTCGCAGCTTTCTCCTACTCAGTGTGAGCTGAGGACACACAGTAGGTGCTCCATGAACGGTAAGCAGGGCTGTTACTGGAGGGCCCCTTTGCACCATGTGACTCTCCTCCTGTTCTTGCAGCTTCACGCACTGAGCTCAGGTGTGAAGGCCATGGTGTCCGACCTCTGCACCCAGGGGGCTGAGGTTTGCCGCAGGGCCTGCGGTGGACACGGCTACTCGAAGCTGAGTGGCCTGCCGTCACTGGTCAACAAAGTGACTGCTTCCTGCACCTATGAGGGTGAGAACACCGTGCTCTACCTACAGATGGCCAGGTAAGGCCCAGGATGGCGCAGGCCACTGCCGGCCCCTGGGGGCCCCAGGAAGCTTCTGCTTAGATTGAAACCCTGTCTGATGCCTACAGAGGGGCAAACCTGGGGAGGTACCATATGGAGATTGTCCAACTCCACAACGTGTCTGCCATCCAGCCGCTTCTCCCCAGCTTCACGGCAGCTTGCAGCCAGGCCTCCTCCCGCCTTAGCCGGACCACAGCGTCTATCTCCTCACTCCACCCTGCCCGCTTCCGTCCTTTCTCCACGGGCACCAGAGGGATCTTTTCAAAGCCTAGAGAAGATCACATCTTTCTCCTGCTTAATATTCTTCAGTGGCTTCCCACTGCTCGGGTGAAAATGCCCCACTCCCCGTGGCCCCGGCCCCCGCCCCAACCCGCTCTCACAACCCCCGCTCCTGCTCACCCTGCAGCCACAGACCCCTTTTCCCCTCCACGGGCCTCCACACACACTTCCCCCCCCCGATGCTCTCGGCCGCCCATTCACTGTTGCATGGCTGGCTCCTTCTCATCCTCAGGGTGCCAGCTAAAATGACACCTCCTCAGGTGCCCTCCCTGACCACCCCACCTCATCCTGTTTCCCTGGGAGCAGTTGCCACCGCCTGAAAGTGTCTCCTGTGGCCAGTGCCCCCTGCTGCCCCGAGGGCAGGGAGTCCTCCTGCCCTGCCACCTGGGTGGGCAGGAGGCAGTTCCCTTTCACTTCCTGCCTGGGGTCTGGAGGCTGACAACACTTTGTACATTCATCTAGGCTCAAGGGACTAGAAAGGGCACATACTTCCCCATGCAGGGAGAAAGGGCTTACCAGTAAATACGACGTAACAGTCCTTCAAAAATTCTTTCATGTGTAACATACATTGGGGTTTCTTTTCAAATTACAAAAAGAATACGACACCAAGGAGCAGACACTCTGCACCCTGCACTGTGCTGAGCTCCTGACAAACACTATCTCATTCGGCTTTCCAAACCCCTAACGGTGGGGGTTATCATCCCCATCTAGAGGTGGAGGGACTGTGCTGAGGGCAGTGGAGTGACTTCTACCACGTCACACAGGCCTCAGTGGGAGCTGCCTCAAGTCCAGTGCTGTCTGCACCCAGAGCTCATGACCGTGGATCACCATGAGAGGCTAGAGGTCACCTGTGATCCTCCTATCCCGAGTGTCAGCATTCTTGCATCCACCCCTCTTTTAGCTAAGAAAATCTAATTTCCACACTCACTGTACAATTCACCATAAATCCCCAAATCACAAGATCCTCACCAACAGAAAAGATTCTGTTTGCTCAGATAGCCAAAGGGTCTCTGTTCAGGAGCAGAGAGGGTCTGCCCAACTCCACAGCCCCAGCCCCGTTCCAGGGCGGTTGCACTCCCGGAGGGCCTCCTGGCAGGCTGGGTGGGGGCTGGCAGTGAGAGCGACCATCATGAGGAACCAGGGCAGGAGCCCAGCTGGCCCTGGTTCTCCCAGGGAGCCTGAGAGTACAGGGCCCTAGTAGAGAGGTGTGAGACTCCCCCTTCCTCTCACCTGCCTCCACCCCAACCCCAGGTTTCTGGTGAAGAGCTACCTGCAGGCTCAGGCCACCCCAGGTTCCACATCGCAGAGGTCCCTCCCTCAGTCTGTCGCATACCTCAGCGCACCTGACCTGGCCAGGTGCCCAGCCCAGAAGGCAGCCGACTTCCTCCACCCAGAGCTCTACACTACTGCCTGGACACACGTGGCAGCCAGGTGAGCCAGAGCTGGGAAATCAGCCACCCCACCGAAAGGCAGGCTTCTCCCGCACTAGGGCCTTCAGGGTTGGGTGGATAAGCATTCAGACATACTCTCCCCAAAACCACCCCCTTCTCCAACCTCCCAGTCCTCCCAGCTCCTGACACCAGGAGCAGAGAGGAGGGGAGGTCACACCAATCAGCAGTAGACCACATGCACATCTCCATCCTGGTCAAGGCAGGAGAGCACCTCTCTGGCTGGCATAAGGAATTTTAAAAATCTTTAGGTTCTTATTGTGACTTGCAATATGAAGAATATACCCATTGGTAAATACTGTGAATGTATCTGAATGTAACTACTAATAAATAAAGCAACACTCATATGTTTGAAATATCCCATGATCTGAAAACAGTTTTCAAAAATATGACTACATCAAAGGACAGAATTAGTTTATTTCCAGGATCTAGTAGGCTGGCTCCAGGGAATACTAACAAGACCAAGTACTCATCCATTTTGTCATTCAACAAATATTGTCAGGCACCTACTATGTGTCAGAAATGTCCAAATAGGCTGGAAATAAAAGGAGGTCCTAGCCAAACACAGAAAAGATGGAGATATTTAACTACCTAAAAAGCAAACCTTCTGAATCCCTCCCCAACTAAAACACATAAACAACCTGAGCAGAATCTTTTCAGCATTTAAGAGGTCTTATATCCCAACGTGTGGTCCCAGGGATGGCTAATAGTTACTGCGAGATCACAAGCAACTTGGGACATTCATTTATTTACTACTCAAATATTAAGTGCCTAGAATATGCCAGGCACCGTTCTAGGCACTGGGGATCAATCAGTAAACCAGTCTGATAAAAAGCCCAGGCCTCACAGCTAACATTTTAGTTAGGGGAGGTGAGGTATACAAAATAAGGCTGCTCAGGATAATAAAAATACTATTATAGTGCTTCTTGCTTGAAACTCAGTGTGACTGAGTTTCAATAGATCTGCTTACCTATTCCCTGACAAGCAAAATAAATATTGCTTAATAAAATTTGCTTTGCATACAAATTCCAAGAGTCATGAGTAGATGGGTGGGGATAAAAAATAAAAGAATAAAGGTTAAGTAAATGGTAAATGACAATTTATGGTTTAGAGGACAAGGGCTGGTTTTCCTTTCCTTTTTTTTTTTTTTTAAGGCCCCTTAGGCAGAACTTGGCACAGGCTGGTGACCAACAGGCCTCACTAGCCTTTAGAGAAAAACCATTCTCTTTGCTTACCACAGGTAATCAGTCAACAGAATGGCCCAGAAACCTGGTTTGAGGATGGAGTCTGCCTTAAAAATTGGAGGCTGAACCTGGCTTCAGGCCTGCAGGCCTACAGCTAGGAGGTTAGGAGGTTAAGAGAGGCTCCACTCCTTACTAGCTGTGTAACCCTGAACTACTTAGTCAACCTTTCTGGGATTCAGTTTTCCCCCATTACAAACTGGAAATGCCTGCTCTTAATGGTTAAAGACATAATGTGCATCAAGCATTTAGCTTTGCAACACCAGTACACTGTCATTAACTAGGAGTTATTTCTACTTCTGAGGGACCCTAGGCAGCCTGGGACCAACCTCCATCAGTCTCTTTCCCACTCAGTCAAGAAGCTGGACCTCTTTCCCTCGTCCTTCAGGCTCATAAAGAACTCAGTGCATCATTTGCAGACTCTGATGCAGTCCGGGGCCGACAGGCACGAGGCATGGAACCAGACCACCATCATTCACCTCCAGGCTGCTAAGGTGAGCCACCCGCCAGCTGACGCTGAAAGGCACCCGCTGTGTTTTGCCAGCAGGTTACCCTGATGCGAAAATCTGAGCTCTGCCCGTTATTCCCCAGCCCTGCTCAGCAGCTGCCCTCATCTCACTTCCAAAGCTTTAGTCCAGGGTATTTTAATTAAAGGACTTAACTCCAAAGCAATCTTGCTGGCACCTCATAGGGAAAAACGTAATGAGGCAGTGTTATTGGATTTGCTTCAGGTTGTTCACAGATTTCCTCCCAGACAGAAAAGCAGGTCAAGTCTCCCCTTAGCCCCACAGGCAATCCTTGGGTGTCTGATTCAATTTCCACTAGGTTTTCTGTGTGTGCATAATTCACCATCAGTAGGCAAATATTTGAGCACCCACTCAGCACCACACACCAGGCTGGGTACTAGAGGCTCAATCGAGGAAGCACTGTGGCGGGGGATACAGGCTGCCACGGGTCCCAGAGCAGGCGCACCTCTGTCCTCCTTGAAGCCGGGAAGTCTTCTGAGAAGTGGCAGGTAGGCCAAGACTTCAAGGATGAGCTGAAATCAGGCAAGCAAAGGGTAGAATCGGTGGCTTGGAACAAGTTTTCCCAGCAAAGGGAACAGCAGGTGCAAAAGGAGAGGCACGAAAAGGCATGGGGCTTGGGAGGCCATGAAAATCCTCCCAAGGAGGAAGCCTGAAACAAGGCAGGAAGGAAGGCAGTGGGGAAGGAAAGCCAGGCAAGGCCTAGGACCTTCTGCACCACTGAGAGAGGTCTGGGTTTGGTTTTCATTGCAAAGAGAAGACCTGGCAGTTTGTATCATGGGAATGAAGTGATCAGAGTTTCATTCTATAAGGATCATGCAGGCTGCAGGGGCAGGAGTGGACTGGAGGCCAGAGGTCAGTTAGGAGCAGGCAGCACTCCGGGTGAGGGCCAAGGGTGGTCCTGACCATGAACTTGGCAGAGGGCATGGAAAGAAGTGGGTAAGATGCAGAGATTAAGGCAGTAGAAGAAAGGCAAAGCTTCAGAGAATAATGGGGTGGGAAAGAGGTAACAGTGACTCCCAAACTCTAGCTTAGGCAGCTGGGGTTCTGGCCCTACCTAAAGCTGAAAAATTAAGGTGACCCTTCAACCCTCAGGCATCAGGCCCAGAAAATGGCAGCCTTAGAACAGGACAGCTGGAAGGAGGGCTTTGCAGCAGCCCTGGCAGGGCAGGCCTGTCGGCCAGCTGGGCAGGAGCGCCACCTGGCGGCCCACCCCCTCCATCACATTGGCCGGTCGGGTATTCACTCTTCTGCCCTCCGTTCTGCCCAGTCCACTGCAGGGACACTCCCTGCTGTGCTAAAGGCCCTACCAACACAGAGGGGAAAGCAGAGGCTGTGCTCTCACCAGCCATCAGAAAGGGAACCACAGCCGCCCACTAGCCATCCGTTTGCCAAACCTATGCCCTGCCTTCAAATGGACCAGATACTGCTTGCCAAGGTTATCTCATTTAATACACACAATGCTGGGAGGCGGCCTTAGCTTCTCCGCCTGTAAAACAAAGGAGGGTGGCAGCGCCCTCCCTTCTCTGACCCTATAATCTTGGACCCTGTCCGGGAAAGGCGTCAGTCCCTTCGACCCTGGGAGCAGACGCTGGTATCCAGTATAATCCAGCCTCAGAGTCTGGTGGCTTTGGCATTGCAGGGTAGCAGCTAAGAGTACAGACCCTTAACAGGGGGGCAGATGCCCTGGTTTTGGATGCCCTTCACTACCACTTACCAACCATGTGACCTTAGCAAGGAACCTAATCTCTCTGCCTCAGTCTTCTCATCTGCAAAATGGGGCTAATAATAGTACCTACCTTGTAGAACTAGTATGAAGATTAAATGAATTAATACATGTAAAACTTAGAGGTACCTAGCATATAAACACTACACTCCACCCCCAAATTAGGCAGGTGAAAAGATTTAAACAAACACACACAAACAGTAAATAAAGTCCACAGTGTTCAGAACATGGTGCGAAGGCCACCTTCCCTCCCTGGACCGCACCCAGCTTTCCCAAGCCAAGGCCCGGGCCCTCAGGCAGCAAAGCATCACCCGCACTCCCCAACCCACGACCTTGAGAATTTAAGGATGTGGCCCTCAGTTAGGACAGGGAAGCAGGTCCCAGGGGAAAAGAAGTGAGGGTCTCCAGTTTTGCCAAACAGGGTCCAGTTTGAGCACAAGGGTGTCTGGCCTGGCAGGGGCAGGAGAGCCCATCTGCTCTCCTCCGTGAGGCACGGGGCGTTGTCAGCCCCCAGGCGAGGCCTCCCTGGAAGAGGCACAGACTTCACAAGTGAGAAACTCGTCAGACTGCTGGCCTATTGAAGAGATTGGCGGCTCCCTGACCTCCCCCCAGCCCCCAGCTGTGTCACTCACAGCCTGCGCTGACCTGAGTCCCAGGTACGCAGCCACCCTGCCTTCCACAGTTCGCCGTCACCACCTTCCTGCACCCCGGTGGTGCAGCCTCCTGCAAGTACAGCCCTCTGCCCACGACATTCCCTAGGCCTGGAACGACCTTACCCCCACTCCTTGTCCCCCTGGGTAAACTCTGAACACTCAACACAACACTAGGCCTTATTTAGTTAGTACCAGCACTACGGGCATTACAGGGGCGCTATCCTGAAATCTGCATTTCTGTTCAAATGACCCCAGGTAATCTGTATGCACGTAAAAATTTGAGAAGACCTGATTTATATGATCTCCTTTCCTCTCTCCTCCCCATGGAAGTCATAAATAATATGAAAATAAAGGTAAAGATAAATAAAAGAAAGTAAAGATAAAACTAAAGTGCCTTTGTCTTGGGGAAAGGCAGAATATTCCAGAAATCATTCTGAACCAGGCCTTGGAGAAGCAGGGTCCCAGAAGCCTCCTCGGGGTCAGGCGTGAATCCTCTGGTTGCTGGGTGGTGGGAGGAAGTTACTCCCGGGGCTGGCAGAGGGCGCGCTCACTAGGCTGAGGGCAGGAGTCCCTTACCAACCAGCACCGGAGCATCACTGCACCCAAAGCTGGGCTGTTACACGTGGGCTCAGTAACAGGCTGCTCACAAGGAGTTTACGCAGCAGCTGGTACTAAGTCTGTGTACCTCCTGAACCCCTACTTTCTCACCCACGGTGCACATACACACCCCACTGCCACCGCTGATAGCCAGCTATTCCCTCGGGGAAAGCGCTGCTCTGCCCCCAGGCCAGCGGCCAGCGCTCCTGCCCCTTCCGCTCTACCTTCACACTTACTTTAAGCTGCCTCGGGCACAACGAGGATGCTAGTGGCCAGGTTCCAGAGCGCGCCAGCCCCCAACGTGCACACACACACCCACGCCTGCGCAGAGGCTCCGTCACACCCTCGGTGAGCCAGGAGGGCAGGGGGCCGCTGGTCACCCTGCTGGGAAGCACAGGCCCGCGGCACACCTGGCCCAGCCATCCTGCCAGGCTCCCGGAATGACCTCTCCGGTCAGGGACCAGAGGCTAACGCGCCCTGGTGTCCTCGTAGGCACACTGCTACTACATGGCTGTGAAGAGCTTCACAGAAGCGCTGGGGGAGCTGGAAAGTGAGCCGGCAGTTCATCGGGCACTCAAGCGCCTCTGCGATCTCTTCGCTCTGCACGGCATCCTGACCACCGCGGGCGACTTTCTCCACGATGGCTTCCTGTCTGGCGCCCAAGTAGATGCGGCGAGAACAGCCTACCTGGACCTGCTCCCCCTCATCCGGTGAGTGGACAGCTCTCAAACCACAGGCATGTTCAGGGAATAACCTAGGCTCTTTGCTCACTTCGAACTCCAAAACCTTGCCAACCGGGTTTTTTGACAGACAGTAACAGCAACAGCCCCCAAGAGGTCTACGGCCTCGCAGCACTACACCATTACAGCATTACGGCCTGATGAAAGCGAAACCGGAAAATAATTAGAAATTAAAATGCATAACAATAAGTTATCCAGCTACCTCAGTTGACCTCTTTAGCACTGTCAAGGAGACAGGACTAGTATCCACAGGATATGAATAAAAATGAGGCACACTACATAGTAATACTATGTATTAATAGCAGTACTAATGAGTCTTAATCATTGCTCCTATTGAAGGAACACATGTGTGCCAGGCACTATGCCACAGCTTTTACATACATCATCTCATTTAATCCTTATAGGTTTACCCTACATCACACAATCGCCAGAGGAAGCGCCAGCTACAGTCTGGGACCCCAAAGTACCTGCTCTTAAGTTGTGTATTAAAGTTAAGGTTGTGCTATTGCTTATTTCAGATATTTCCTGGTCTCTGTTGAATGTGCTTAGACAAACTCTTACTGAGTTGACTGAACTACTGTAATCCTCCTGCAGCTTCTATGAGTTAAACCCTGTAACTCGTGGACTGATTTGTAAAACAATAATACGAAGAGTTTCTAAACGAAGCATAATGCAGTGCAGTTTAGGGCCATGACACACTAATGCAATCCTTTCATCCTGTTAAGTTTATATATAATCTAAATGATCACTTAAAGAACATTATCAAAAACAAAGGGTAATGGAGGAAACAGAAATTAAAACAATACAGATAAGTCAGCATTATCCGCAGGATGAGAAATGGGCTAACTTGAGAACACAACCTTTCTGAACAAATATGATGCCTGTGTATGGGGCCTGGGGGGTCTGGGGTGTGGGGCGTGCCATGTGTGAGTGTCCTTTCCCTTAGAACCACCAATGGTTCATATCATCTACAAGACTGATGAGAATTAGAAGGAAAAAGACCTGAAATTTCTTAAAAATAAGATACTCGTGACGGAGGTGAACCACCAAAAAAAAACTAGACCAAATTCTTTTCATTTTTAACTATACAATATGTTACCTTCTATTTATGTCTCCATATAGGCGCCTAAGAGTGAGTGTTTAGTAAATGTCTGTTCGATTAAATCATCAAAACTTCTCAAAAATGCATTTTATACAATTATGCTACAGGTATTAAATTTTCCCTAAAATAGAGAATCCAGCAGTGGAAACCATTAATAGTGCGAGTGAGCAAGCCCAAGTGTATCTAACTTTCTGAAACGCTTGGCATTTAAAAGCACACGAACAATAATGTTCTAGTCCTGATTGGCAGAGGGAATGAAACACAAAAGATCACCTTAACTCCTCATAAGCATGGCTTTTTATCTGCAACAGCACTTCTAAAGTGCTTCCCTTGGCTCCAGAGACTACATACAGTTCCAGACAAGACAGACAGCATGGACAGACAGACAACTCGGCAAGCATCAGACCCCCAGAGCCATTTATTCACATCACGGTTCCTGCCTGAGTAACCTTCCGGCTGCTGCAGGGTAATTAGGTCTGTGACAGACTCCATGCTGCAAACAGTTCTGTGCCAGTTTCCTGCCTCGGTTTTTCAATATTGCCTTCAGATTTCCGTGATGACAAATGAAGGATGGCACGCTGTTCAGAGTCATACAAAAAAACCAGCTCTCTGTGTCACATTACTGCGATTTGAATTTTCAGTTGTTTAAGTGGTCATAAATCTCAGTTGGACGACTTCCAGGTAAAGATGCCAGACTGTACATTGTTACTTGGGTTCGCTTCTGAACTAAAACATCAGCAAATGGATTACGATTTTTTTAAAGGTATAAATCCACAAAGAGAAAGAGAACAGGAGAAGCGTGAAAATTAGAAAGTAGATGGACAAACAGTGACTCAGCAGGCCTGAGAAAACTGAACCATTAACCAGAAGTGGAAAAAGCCAAGAGCCCCAGGGACCCCCAGCACTGGGTGCCTCTGGCAACATGTGGTGGGTGGGTGGGGGTCAGACAGACAGGAGGCCTGATGCCCCAGTTCTCCCCCTTCCCTCTGCTAGTTTTCAGGCTTTCCTTTCCTGCACCCCCACAAGGGCACACAGAGGGTCTGTGGACGAGGGAACACGGGGCATAGATGAGGGTGGGGCTGCCCTGCAGAAAACGGGTGCTTGGATAAATGTTTACAAGCCAAATGCCCTTTTCCCACTGATTCCCAGAAAACTGGCAGCCAGGCCAGTGCCCTACAGATGATAACATGATCCTTCTCTGGACAATCTGACCAGCCCAAAGGAGACAGAGCTGAAGACACTGGTGCCGTGGTGCCCCAACGGTCCTCCCAGTGCATCCCACAGTGAACTCCACTTGACAAGCACACCCGGACTGCTAATCAGCTAGTTAGTGCCCCACCCTTAGCTGTGATCAGACAGTCAGGGGTCCCCGGACACCTGAGGAAAGCCCCTGACATGAAAGAGAAGAAAACTAGCAAGAACAAGGTGACCTGGAGGACACAAGAGGACCTTGAGGGAGAAGAGAACTTTCAAGAGATCAGTAATATCCTCAAGAGGGAAGAGGGCATGGTGCAACCAACAACACAAGAATGCCATTTCTTAAAAAGTAATATTCAGAGAACAAAAGAGCTCTATGAAATTAAAAGCTGATAATGGAAATGAAAAACTGAACTGAGGGCCTGGAAGATAAAGTTGCAGAAATCTCAAAACAAGCAAAAAGACAAAAAATAATAATAATAATAAGGGGAGAAAAGCTAAAAATAGTAAGATGACTGATCCTGTCCATCATCTGTAAAACAGGCTTAGAAAGAGAAGACACAGAAGACAGAAGGGGGCAAATCATTCATAAAATAAATTTGTGGGGGACGTGGGAGCTGGAGGTGAGGGACGGGGATATACGGTGACTCTCCATAACAAGCCTTAAAGAACTATTTGGCTCTCTATATTAGGCACACATAATGATCAAAATTAAAACAAAATTAAAGCGGAGTTTTGTTCGAATAGTGAATAACGATGCAACCTCCAAGTAGGTGTTACTATTCACCATCCCAGACTAATTAGCGTCATAAGAGCAGTCTACAATACTCACAAACTCTTGTGCTCTCTCACAGGAAGGATGCCATCCTGTTAACTGATGCTTTTGACTTCACCGATCAGTGTTTAAACTCAGCCCTTGGCTGTTACGATGGAAACGTCTATGAACGTCTGTTCCACTGGGCTCAGAGGTCACCAACCAACACTCAGGTAGTGGAGTAGAACCAACTGTAAACTATGTAAAAAGACGGAACACACATCCCTGTTTTCTCATTTCTAACTGGTTCCCGTTAGGTTGGCAATCACCTGGCATAGCATGTCTGTTTAAAACATTTTGGGAATACATACAAGGCACCAGGGCTGAGGACCTGACCTGGCAGGAACCCGTCTGGACTGTAATCAGTACGACACACTGCTCAGGATCTGGTAAAGAGAATTGGGAGGAAGGCCCAAGTGCTAAATCATGGCTTGACAAGTGCATCACACAGAGTGGTGCGGGGGCTTTTAAGTAACAAAAATAAGAAGATAAATCACTGTGGTGATTTAACCACCTTATTGTCAGCCTCCAACTCTGTTTTATGCTGATAAAGGTGGGTATTCAGAGGTGACAAGAAGCTGGGGTGGGGGTCCCTCTCAGACCTGCCTGCTAGAGACACCTCCTTTCTTTTCACTCTAAGGAACAAAATCCCAGAAGTAAAGAAGGCTGCACTGCCTCCAATGGCCCAGGAAAGCTGTATAAATGACAGTTATAAGGGTTATGGTGAAAAGATCCCCGACTGTCCTAGGAAAAGAACTCCCAGAACTCCATGTTAACAGAAGATGGGGAGGACTCATAAAATCCTATGAGTCTAGGGCCATGGTACCAGACTGCCTGCTATGAGCCTCACTGGGAGAAGTAAAGAGTATCAATGACTACATTCACTGGGGTAAAGAAATAAACCTCATATACTTAGAATGTTGGGAACCCATATTTAATAGCAGATTTGATATGGATGATCAAAACAGAAAGTCTGTAGATACACAACAGATTGTTTTAAGGTCTACAATTCAGGTATGTTATTCAGATGGTGAAGTTTAACTTTTTTCCTCTCGGTTCAAACTTTAGAAAAGGTGTCTTCACACCTCATCAGATTGACAACTCTCAGGCTGTCACTCACACTTAGCATGGTGTTAGATTTGCTCTTAACTTCCTGCATCCTGTGATATCTCATAGCCTAAGTTAACATGATTATCTAACGTTGTAACACAACCACTTATCACCAAGATGTCAGATAGAAGGCCAATCCATTTTGGTCATTCCCCACCTCCAGGAAGGCATCCTTTTAACTCAACCAGGAAATATATAGAACTTGCCTAAAGAAGGTAAGATACATTTACCACGTAGCACAGTTAACCTACTTCTAGCATGTTGCTTTTTCTAATGGTTAGATCTCTCTCCTTCCTAACATTTAAATCCTGGCATAAAGCTACAGCAGCCCTCCCACTCCGAGTAGCCCTGGTGGCCTCAGACAAATGTCTGCCCTTTGGTGCACCAGACAGAAAGCCGCCCTGCTCCAACACCTGGCAGGAAATGCTGACCTCGGATCTAGCTCAGACCTGTTCTACTAGCAATACAAGGGAACACACCAGTTCTCCTGATACCACGTTTAAAAGAATGTAATCTGGATCTCATATGAGGGCGGGCTTATCTGAACAAGGGCATGACTGACCCACAACATCAACAGATTGGACCAGACGTTGATGCGCTGCACCCCATCCACTTTCCTCTCTTCCCTACCTCCTGCCACTCGACTGTGACAAGGATGGAATCATCTTCTTAATACCAGGATCTATTACAGAGTAGACCCTTTGTTTTTATGGAATAAAAGAGCGTGGTTTTATGACCTACAGGATGAGGCGCAGGACACTGCTGCACACACAAAGCTGCAGACTCTTGCCATCCTAGCTTGTATCACCTTGCTAAAAAACTGACAAGGTGGCTCTTTTATGCACAGCAATTTAGGAATGTGAGATTATAAATGACCTTGGAGAACTGCTTCCAGTCAGTTAAAACGACACTCAATTGACTGCTAATATACAGCCACACCATCTTACACTTCCGGCTCCTGTGGAGACCACCAAAATTAGCCTTATAAGGTGTATTTTTCTAGCCTGCTGTAGATAATTTTGAAACTACGATGAGAGGCATTCTTTCTCATTTCCATTAACAGGAAAAGACACACTACAGGTTATTTCAAATAAATTAAAATTTAACAGCTACATTGAAGCATGCCTTGTAGACACAAAACTACAAATGAGAATATATTCACTGACATTTTCTACCAAAAGTGCTATGCTGGGTTACATGCCTTTCCTAAGATGGCCTCTCTTCTGTCTAGGGCGCTTCATCTCTAAACAGGAAGATAAGCTCTCTCTTGGTTTACTCCAGCCTTGGTGTCTGCTTTTTGGCTTTTTTCTTGATCTGGAGCCTATTTCAAGCCAGTTTCTCCAAAGTGAACTGCAATAGGCTGTTCCCTCTCCCCACGTGAGCTCATATCTAAGTGACCCCCTGCAGACACAGCAATGCAGGAACCACAGGGGATAATTTCAAAACAAGAATCGCATTCCCCCCAATTATTTTACTGTAAAATGTGTCCAAGTAGTTGCTAGATGCATTAAATGTATCTACTGATTCATTTATTCAACAAGTATCAATTGAGCATTTGCTATATGTCAGCAATTGTCCCAGGCAGTAGAGAACAAGAGGCACAGGCCCTGTCTTTAGGAGTTTACAGTTAAGCCTACACAGGCAAAAAAGTAAATACACACATAAACAGAACAGATGAGGTTACAGCTAAGGAAAGAATCAAGACATTATAGCAGACAGCAATGGGGCTGACCTACTCTGACATAGAATATTTGCTTACCTGATTCCACCTCTGGGTCCTTGCTTTGTAGTTAACGTTCAAAGAGCCTCAAAGAGTCAAGCCTCTTATTGGTATTAAATTCCAAAAGCAGATGATAAGAGGTGCTTTTAATTGGCCACCTGCATCCACAATTGAAAATCTGCATGAGAAAAGGAAGGATGCCCTTTGGGAAAAATGCTTCTCCATAAGTTCACACAAAATGAATTTTTTAAATCATTTTTAAAATGAAGTGTATTATGTAATGCTACTTTTTGAAACTAAAGACTCAAATTTAAAAGTAGAAGTCATTAATTCAGGCAGAAATATTCTCTTACCAATGCACTTCTTTCTACAAACAGGAGAACCCTGCCTATGAGAAATATATAAGACCGCTATTACAAAGTTGGAGATCCAAGCTGTAAAATAATCAACGGCATTCAAGAGGCACCACTATGTGATAATAGTACTATGGCCAATACATCATTAAAATGTTAAAGAGAGAGAGAGAGAGAGAGAGAGAGAGAGTCATCTTCTTGAAATGGATCAAAGACCTGAATGTAAGTCATGAAACCACAAAACTCTTAGAAGAAAACATAGGCAAAACTCTCTTAAATATACACATGAGCAACTTTTTCCTGAACACATCGCCTTGGGAAAGGGAAACAAAAGCAAAAATGAACAAATGGGACCGCATCAAACTAAAAAGCTTCTGTACAGCAAAGGACACCATCAGTAGAACAAAAAGACATCCTACAGTATGGGAGAATATATTCATAAACGACATATCCAACAAGGGGTTAACATACAAAATATATAAAGAACTCACACACCTCAACACCCAAAAAGCAAATAACCCAATTAAAAAATGGGCAGAGGATCTGGACACTTCTCCAAAGAAATTCAGATGGTCAACAGGCACATGAAAAGATGCTCCACAATGTTAATCATCAGGGAAATGCAAATTGATAAATGAGATATCACCTCATACCAGTTAGGATGGCCAGCATCGACAACACTAGGAACAACAAATGCTGGTGAGGATGCAGAGTAAGGGGGGGGCCCTCCTACACTGCTGGTAGGAATGTAAATTTGCTCAACCATTGTGGAAAGCAATATGGAGAGTCCTCAAAAAACTCAAAATTGAAATACCATTTGACTCAGGAATTCCACTCCTAGGAATTTACCCAAAGAAAGCAAGATCTCAGATTCAAAAAAGCATATGCACTCCTATGTTTATCACAGCACTATTTACAATAGCCAAGATATGGAAGCAACCTAGTGACCATCAGTAGATAAATGGATAAAGATGTGGTACGTATACACAATGGAATATTATTCAGCCATAAGAAGAAAACAAATCCTACCATTAGCAACAACATGGATGGAGCTGGAGGATATTTATGTTCAGTGAATTAAGCCAGGCAGTGAAAGCCAAGTACCAAATGATTTCCCTCATTTGTGGAGTATAACAAGGCAAAACTGAAGGAACAAAACACCAGCCAACCCACAGACTCCAGAAGGGACTAGCAGTTACCAAAGGGGAGGTGTGGGGGAGGGCAGGTGGGGAGGGAGAGAGAAGGGGACTGAAGGGTATTATGATTAGTAGACATGGGGGTGTCACAAGGAAGACAGTGTAGTACAGAGAAGACAAATAGTAACTCTGTGGCATCTTACTACACTGATGGACAGTGACTGCAATGGGTTGTTGGGAGGACTTGATAATATGGATGAATGCAGTATTTTTCTTGCATATTTTCATGTGAAACCTTAATAAAAATTTAAAAAATAATTTTTAAAAAGAGTCATCTTTTCGAGACATAGTCTGAAATGAATTAAATTATCTGTGATTTACTTCAAAATAATCCATGGGAGAAAAAAGAGGAAGTGGAGAGTTGGCGTTAGTCAGTGGGTACATGGGAGTTCACATGATTCTATTTCTGAATATGTCTGAAATTTCCCTCAAAGAAAAACAGTAGTGCTATCCATTTGTAGCATCTATTTTGTTAAATACCAGGGTTTTGCTTTGAATCTAGCAAAAGCCAACAGACTCATTAGTTATCACCTATGTCTTTAGCACACATTCATCCAAGGGTGCAGAACACACATACCACACACACACACACACACACACACACACACACACACACACACACACACACACACACTCCTCCTCCTCCAAAAGTGCCTATTAAAATAAAATGTAGAGCCCCGAGAATGCAACTAAGTATCAATTTTTAAAAATCAACTTTCATAGTGAAAATGATTCAAAATTTCATTAAAAAGCCATAATTGTCTCAAATCACCCAACTATAATCAAGCTACATTTTTCATATCATTTTCAATTGCCCAAGTATATAAAACACTCAAAATTAAATGGTACCAAACAAATTAAATTGCAAAAAATCTCAGCTGGCTACTTTTCCTAAGTCACCCATATAAATAACCAGTTGTTAATTAATATAACTGGGAAAATTTAACAAAAGCAAACTTATCTCCAGTAAACTGGGTGAGGAAGAAACCTCCTAAGTTTTTAACTATTAAAACCTTGGAACAAGTAATATTATTCCCATTTCCATACCTGTTTTCGACCCAGAGTCATTTCATCTTGCACTCACCCCAGCTAACTCAACACCACATAATTGGCTCGATTTTCCTTCTCAGGTAACCACCAATCAATTTGAAGTAGAAGACAATTTTCTTAAAAACATAATCTCATATTCGTTCATATATTTACTGAAACCACAGTAACCTGCCAATAATATTAAAGGATTTTTAGTTTGAAGATGGTGAAAATGGCTAATTGTAAGTTTCTGGATGTTGGTCATTTGTTAAATTTTAAAATAAATTTTCAGAGAGACAGGGGCGAAAATGGACTTAGATAAGCGTTACCCTTTCAGAGAGAGAAACTCAGCATCTTCTAGAGAGGAGAAAGGGAGTGCCCACGCCTGCACACACAGCCTCAGGGCTCCACTATTCCCTCAGAAAACAGGGAAGAAGTTATATGACCTTCTTTTATGATGTTCTAGCAAACTAGGGAGTCTCACTGTAGTTAACACAATCCTGCCTGTGAGTAATTTCCAAGAACTAGAGTCAAATGAACTACACAAAATAAGGCTACGGAGAAATGAAGTGCATACATATCTCCACGTACCCCAGAATCTTCATTCACTGAAGTTTATTGCTGCTCCTCAGAAATAAACTTCACTTTAATAACAGGATACATTTGTGGGTCACCATAACATATGAGAATAAAGTGGTAGAAGAGTCAGTTTGTCCCTGTGCTCAACACAAAGCTTGAATAAGGGCCATATTCAGAGCTATCACAACGGTGGCTTATTGCAGAAAACTGTAATCTTCAGCATTAGTCCTATTTGAAAAAAATTTGTCAAACTGTATGTTCACGGTTCAAATATGCACTCTCTCAGACAAAATTAATAACTCCATTTTTCCTGCTGCAACGACATGGTGGAGTTCTATAAATTGCATCCTAAGGTCCAATTGAGTCCTCTTGAATCAAATACAAATGTGCTAAAGGCAGTGCATAAATGGGACATAAACCAAGCAATGCAGACTTCAGACATGGCACATGACTTTCCCTCTTAAGTAACAGGAATCAATAAATACAGACCTATTTTTCATATTGCATTTTTTATTAGTTTCTTTTTTTTCTGGTAGACAGTACACTTAGGAATTATACTGCACCAGGCATAAGAAGTAAGATTTCTACCGTAAGGACATTTTGTATTCAGAACCCAATATAAATATTTCTAGTCAGACATTTCCATGGCTACAGATATTTGGTTGCTTGATTTATATGCATAGAGAGAAACAGTTGTCATAACTGTAAAAAGCAGTACTTAACAAGTACATTTAAATGATTGGAACAGTTTTCCTTTAATATTACAATACTGCTTATTGGTTTGGAAACTAGGTCACCCTACATGATGTTTTGATTTCTCTCAAAGGCATCATGAGTACTCTGTTTATTCGTTCATTCCTGCATTTTTAGCCTTCTAGTTAAGTTAGGGACCATTAAATCAGAAATCATTTTAGCACTGTAATAAAAAAAGCTCTGTTAAGAGTAGATTATATACCACAATGATTTTCAGACTTCTTTTTATAAAAAAGGTATCTGGAGGTTCTGAACAGGCACATGCATCCTCAGGGTAAGGGAACAAAACATAGAAGAGTCTGCTAAAGCACAAAACTTCCTTCTGGTCCTCAGTGCCTTCAAATAAATATACAAATATTAAAAAAAAAATTCCACATGGTGATTTAAAAAAAATAATAATCAGTCTCTTCCATGTCCTGGAGAGTCAGTCGGCTTCCAGGGGTCTCTCTGGGGCTGGAGGTCAGTCATCTGTCTTCCGGGCCAGCCTGCAGAAAGTCCAGTTGTGCTCCACTGTGTTCTCATTGGCCCGCTCACTCATGTGATGCACGCGGGTGTTGCGGATCGTGAAGCCTTGCTTCGTAATGTACTCCATCAGGTGCACCCGGAGAGAAACTTCCTGGTGATAATCACAGGGTCCGAAAGTAAAGGACACCTGACAATCTCTGGTGTCCATCATGTGCTTATTCCACTTGGTAAAATAGTTTGAGATACCTTCTAGTAAGGAGTGGACCTTGGTGGTGATGGTTAATTGGGTTATGATCACAGCTACTGGATTGGAGTACTTAGAAAGCTTCCGAGTGCTAGATAACTCCACGACTTCTTCAAAAGTATCCATAGGATACAAAGGTTTAGGGTCATTGAGACACTGAATCAAGGGCTCAATCTGATAAAAATCTGCTTCTTTCCGAAGCAGATCAAATTCCTTAAAATCCAGGGGCAAGGTCAACTCTGAAGTTCTTAAGAAGTTGAGGACGTATCGGAAAAGAGGTCCATCCCGATCAATGAAGTAATTGCCTTGAGGGTCTCGGGCGGTGGGGAAGTCCCCTCCAAACATGGCCCCGAGCATGGAGTCCGGGTAGCGTGTCAATGTGGTGAGAGACGTTGTGTACAAGTGTCCACCTACATTTAACGTGACTGGGTCAGTCATCTGCAATTTTTTAAAAAATGATCAGTCATCTGAAATGCTTCAATTCCTAACTGACAAATTAAGAAAATGGTAACAAACAAAGCAAAACTCTCCTTCTGGCCAGAAGGTATTTAGCCATCCTATATACAAAAGAGTGTTACTTTCAGCTATAAACCCACCCAGATGATGGGATCCGACAGCTGCTTTCAATTGGAAAAAAGCAAAAATCCCACCTTTAAAGCTTTACACTAAGAAAGGAGGGCATGACTTCCAAAGCCATTTAATTTCAGGCCCAGTAGCCAGAGAGTTTTCAGGTCAGAATATATACTATGGGAAGAGAAAAACCTTCACTAAAGTTTTCTGATTTAAAAAAAAAAAAACCTTTGTTTTTCTTAATTCAACATAAAATAGAACAAAAAAATGATTTGATACTACAAGACATCTACTTGCAATATTGCTTTTGTTTTATCCCCCTCATAAAAGGGGAACAAATTGGGAAATTTGTTTTAAAAATAAAAATTTGTGCAGAACTAATCTTCATAGCTTTTTCATGAAAATAACAGTGCCAAATACTGAAACATACAGTATAATCAGTACAACCTCACTTACCCAAAGGCTAACAGCAGCTCTCAAATTTCAAAATCTGATAGTGTATTCACTTATGTGACATTAATGTTGCAATCTAGCCTTTAATTTTGAAAAGCAAGCTTCCCTAAATACATACCTTTGATTTTAGGAATTACATTTAAGGAAAAAAATACAGACAGACAGACAGACTTTGGTGCTAGTTAAGTAAAATACTTCTTACCAAAGGAAAAGAAAAATAGGAAAACACATGCACACACAAAAAAGTGTAAGTGGTACAAGTAGCACCTTCTGAGCCATTAACCTCCCAACCACCGAAAGTGTCCTCTGTATGATACCCCACTAGACAGACCCTTTAATAGTCACTATTGTATGAAGGAAGACTTTAAGAACAACATACTTTAAAGAGCAAAAATCATGCTCTCAACTGATTATAAGTAGTTACTTAGACAGTCCATATTGATTGAGTTTGCTTACGTAACACTCAAACAAAAGAAAAATACCCCCAAAATACATCTAATATAAATTAGGGGCAGGGGGCTACACCAATTTAACATTTTAATTCTTAAAAGATGTAGCATACCTAAGAATACATAAGAGGGAGAAAGACACACACAAATAATTTGCCAGCCTTCAAGATGCATCTGCAAAAGCCTCTTACCATATAGCCCCAGTCTCCATTATCCATCTGCTCCAGCGCTGGTCTCGGGGAGCCCGGGTTCCAGGGAAAACTTGGGAAGGAGAAAAAGACATGTGATAGCACATATGACTATGAAAACAGGTAAGAAAGGTTCTTCCACCCAACAGAGCAGGCCAAGCACCAGAAAACTGCTCACAGTCGCTCTACTAAAGGCGACTATGAGGCAAAGATCTGGGAAGAAAGTATTCCTCCAGGGCCTTCTGCGGGTCCTCTATCCTACCCACGTGTGCCTAAGAGACTGACCACCTTGACAGATGAATTTTCCCAAACTTAAAGGAGGTGGAAGAGACCAGTGAGGAAACCAATCATTCAGATTCTACTTATCTTCTCTGAAAATTTAATGTTTGGAATTTCTGTTAGAGTACACAGTGACTAACTATACAACTTTCATGATACAAAACTATGATGACCCTTATCAAAAAAGTCACTTAAGAGAAAGGAAGAAAGAGAAAATTCTTCATCAGCATTTCAACTGTACAGACCAAACATCTCAGGAAGACATTAAAACCCAAAAACCCTCAAGACACCAGTATCACTTTGCAAGAGATATTCATCAGAATGGTATTTCTTTTATAACATAAAAACACTAATTACACTTCCAATACCAATGCATTTTATTTTGTAGAATAAGCAAAACGAATAGAAAACAATTTAAATGCCAAGTCATTCAAGCACAATTTGGGGCAAAAACAACATTAAAAATCTGTTTTAGACAGCAGCAGACTCACAGACCCGAAGAAGGGACTAGTGGTTACCAAAAGGGAGGGGTGGGTGGGGTGGGTGGGGAGGGAGGGAGAAGGGGATTGAGGGGTATTATGTTTAGTACACGTGGTGTGGGGGGTCATGGGGAATACAGTGTAGCACAGAGAAGACAAACAGTGAATCCGTGGCATCTTACTAAACTGATGGACAGTGATTGCATTGGGGTATGGGGGGGACTTGATAATATGGGTGAATATAGTAACTACACTGTTTTTCATGTGAAACATTCATAAGAGTGTATATCAATAATACCTTACTAAAAAAAAAATCTGTTTTTAGAGTCCCTCAGAGGGCACTTAGGGAGAACCAGCCTGAAGACATTAATACCCAGAAACTAATGATTCCAGTCTGCATTTAGTCTCACCTACAATTCCACAGCACTTAGACAGGTTTCCAGCCACTGAACCGCCTTAGTCAGCCCCGCACACACATCATTCCCCAAAGCAAACTGCAGAGCAAATTCCAAAAGTACTGGCAAGAGATGGTGAGAAATGAGGACTTATTATCCAGGAAGAGCATTGTTTTTTTTAAAATATGGTCTCTGAACAGATTCACTTTGCCCACTTTTAGAGGAATCTGGCACACTATTCCCAGAACAGGCCCTGGCTACATTAGATCACAAAGGCTCTTTCTCAAAAAGGTCACTCAGGCATGTAGGGAACATTTGCATAGCACAGCATGGGTTGAAATTGGAGCCCGAAGCGTCTATTTCTCCACCTTGCAAATTCTTCAAAGCAAAACAAACTGAAATGTGGACCAGACACCGAGCAGTCAGTTTTTATTCTCCACACTCAGCAGTTGGATATAGACAGGCCACCACATGCTACAGGGTGAGAAATGGAACAAATGTCAAATTCAGGGCTGTTGTGACAACCTTTCATTCCTCCGACTCATCCCACCTAAACAGTATTTGAAATAAACAGAGCCAGAAACAGGCTTTACCAATTTGTATTATGAGCACCTCATTCAGTTACTGATAAAACGTATCAGTAATGGAGCAATTTAAAAGGCCAGTCATCCAAAAGTTCTGATAATATGCTCCTTTTTAGCATCTTCACATCACCATAGCACTCATTCCTGACAGCCTCAAAAATAATTCAGTCAACCAACATTTCTTGCAGACCACCTGGGCAGGGGGAGAAGCCTGTTGTGCAACATGGATACACAGAAATAGGAAAGGTGCAATCCTTGCCTCACAGAGCTTTCAATCTATGAAGAAAGGCTACAGGCCAACAGCTGCACAGAACAGAATTCAAAGGGACTTTATAACACATGGACTAGCAGAGGCCTGAGGGAAGACAGCAAGAGTAACCCCAATGGGAAAACAGAAGAGCTCGCTCAGCAGACCTCTGCAGGAACATCAGGACAACCTGAGAAGGGATTCTAGAATAAGCAACTTAAGTAAAAAGGGAAGACTCTCCCCACCCACAACATTCCTGATACAGTGAACACTGCCTAAACTGCTGTCCCCAGATGCAAAACAGAGAAACAGCAGATGTGACTTGCTCAAGACCCCACAGCATGAAAGTTAACTAAGAACTTGGGTTTTCTAACTCCTAGTCTAGATGTCTCCATAAACCTTGGGTAGGAATCAGAAGAGCAGAATCCAAGAAACAAGAAATTGAAAGAATTAACTTGAGACCTGCCCCAATAGCCACCTATTAACCCTCTCCACCTGGCAAGGATTTAGTTACAAATTTGACAGCAACTCCATCTCAGTGGCCAGTCAGAATGGGTTTGTGAAAATTCGTGAGGCAAAACAGCAAGAATGTACTCACTAGCGTGACTGAAGGCTGCTGTCCTGTCTTCAGGGAAGTACAGAACTCTAATCCATGAACATCTGACCTGGGTGAATGAGAAATGGGAGACTAAAGACACGGCCAAACCCCGACATCATCAATGGCACAGCTGTTACACAAGTACTGTACACTAATAATCCTTTTTTCTTCTTTCTTGACTAAAACAAGGTAACTTCTTGAAAAATCATAAAAAGAACATCAGATGATGCGTCTGAATCTGTTCCACAGAAAAAAACAAGGTTATCTTCTGGTACAAAGATGTAATGAAATCTCAAGTTTTAATAATTCAGGAAAGCAATTATGGGAATCTATATAAGCCCATGTTTCTTATAAAGCACCCAAAAGCACCCCTACATTTGTGTCTGAGACACATCAAAGTAAAAACAAGTTACTCTTAGTCATTTCCAGTACCAATGACTAAACTCCCAAGAAATCAAGCTGTTCACGAAAGAGCTGTAAGGAAAAAAGATAATGTTGATGAGTTTAAAATTTATCGCTACTCCTTACTTCTAAACATCCTCTGTGGAGATGCTTAGATATAGCGAGAAGCAAACCAAAAAAAGGGAAGATTCCTGGTCACCCAATAGCCTCTGAATTGGTGACTGTTAGGAATGTCTCAGAGACAATGCGGATGAATGAAATAAACATAATCCAGAAGAATTTCTGGTAGCTTCCATCTCTTCTGCTAAATCATTTTCCAGAGCTGCTAACAATTAGAGAATGATCCATTTGCTTCTCATCTTCTCTGCCTTCTGGCACAGTCTCCAGCGGAAAGCTTAACGAGAAGTTAGATGACCACAGAGCAGGCAGCAGAAGGAAGATCTTGAATGGGCATCAAATGGACCTGTTTTACTTGATGAAGACAAAGAAGAATCTAGTATTCCAGAAAATTTGCCAGGAGTGGAGATTATGAGGATAACAATGAAAAGAATTTTCCTTTGAAGTTAAATTTCCTTAAAGATCGTTTCAAACAACAGTAAATGCAACTAAGCACAAACAATTACAAGTTCAAAGAAAGTCTTCTGACCCTTGAGAATCAGTTCATCTGAAAAGATCTCATCTTTGATGCAAATAAAATTCTTGTGGAAACCGCTGACCATTCCTAAAGAATATAGAGTACTGAAAAAAATTCACCTACTTTCATGCTTCAAAGGTTAATTATGACTAATGGATAAATTCTGACATTAAAATGTTAGTAGTTAATTTAGTTAAGGAAAACATACTAAAGTGTTTATAAAAGCCTTAAAACAAAGTGCTAAGAATTTTCTAAAGTAGTAAATCTGAAAAATGCAAAATTCAACTAGTAACTCAGAGAATAACCTAAGAATCCCTGAAAAGCCATTCCCCTCACAATGCAGAATTGCAATTATAAGCTTTGTGGTTATGATGAACTAATAACACAAATATTGTGGGTTTATCATTTCTGATACAGTCTAAAAGTAAGAATTCTCCAGGGCAAAGTCCTACTTCTCTAAAACAGTCTATACATGGCAATTCACACCTCCACACTTGAATAAATAATACAAACCTGTAACTGCTGCCTTCCCAAAGTTTTCAGGTAGCCCTTTTAAAATGCCTTTCTACTGAAATCTTTGTGTCTGACATTCAGAATAGAAGATTCAATAAATTCCATCTATACATACCTTCAAAATTACCTTTGTACTGAATGTCTCTGTTCTTGAAATGTGGGAGTTTGAAAGTGAAATACTTTTTATAGAAGCTAGTTCAGCGACATCTAAAGGAGTCTTCTAGGTTAACATTCACATACAGGTTGGCAAAAAAGTAGCCAGGCACACAAGGACATTGTGATTATGATGTTGGGGTATCCTTAACCATAGCAAGGCAGAAATGGATTGTTTTTTCCTAACACTAATTCTTGTGTCTCTCTCCTCTCTCCATGAGGTCTAGAAGGAAGGCATTCCAGGGTGAAATGGGACCTTAATACTAAAGAGTGGTTATAAACAGTCGCGGTATCATAAAATTCCGCTTATCCTCAGTTCCCACAAGATAAAACGGAATAATACCACTTCCCAAAAGCAATGATACCACTTAGGCACAACACAAAGGCAAGCAACTGGCCTATAACATCACACATCAGGAGTACGGTTCTGAAGTCACATTTGGGCATGTGCAGAGGAAAGAGAACTGGTTACCAGTGAGGATTTGTATCCCAGTTCTGCTCCATTACTAATTATGAAACCCTGAGCAAATCACTCTTTATGCCCAGCTTCTCCTTTCAGAAAAGGAGGGGGGAAAAGCGAGACAATGAATTTGTAAACTGGTAAGTATTAAAACTAATGTGAAAATATTAGTTTTTCAATAGCTAATATTGAAATTTGTTAGGCAATAGCGTAAACCAAATTTCTGCAGTTAATTTGAGAAACTTAATAGTTTGAACACAAGTCATTTTAAGCACTGGTATGAAGACAGAGGAAATATGGAACAGAAGGCCTCTTAATTTGCTTCCCATCTCCCCAAACCCTCCTTTCCCCAGAGCTCCAGAAGAGAGAACTACAAGTGAAAGGGGAGCATTCGGCTCCTATAGAGACCACCAGACGTCGGAGCTCTTGGTCCCAGAAGGAACTTCCCTATAGCATGACTCAGGGTTATCTCCAAGGTAAAGCTGAATCCAAATAAATATGTGCATCCTGTTTCAAACTGACTCCAAAGAGGAAAATCCAAAACACAATGCAGGATTCACAGAAGGATTCACCCTAGGATTCCTTTATGTGGTAATGCTTTGGTTAAAATATGATTTATGAAAATTCATCTCATGCAAGCCTTAGGAATGGCATCTATGGCGGTCCTGACCACTCACTCCCTAATACCTAGGCATTCCACAAAATGAAGTATTAGTATGAACTGACAGTTCTCAACCAAAGAGCAAGTTCTCTGAAAGTATCAACCCTGCACGTAGAGATTTTCCTTCTCCTAGCTACATATTTGCCATTTGAAAACGTCTCAGTCTTGGGCTCAGGCCTGTGCTAAATGCTGTCCCCTGACTTCTTTCCTATCCTGGGATCGTTCATGTACTTGGGCATTTGTGACAGCAAGAAAATGAATATGCCAAGGGGAAATGGTAAGCGACAATTAGACTACCCCAAACATTCTTAGCCAAAACCAGGTCAGCCAGGTGTCTTTGCTACTCAAACCTCTTCTATCACAAAACTCCTAATATTGGATTACCAACTTGTTTCAGAACTGGTATACTTGAACAGTAACATAACTTCAGCAGAATATCCACACAGGATCTCCGTTCCGTTTCCTCCGTTCCACCCCAGATACAGCCTCCACCACCGTCAGCCCAGCAGGTGCTGCAGGGGCTCCCCAGGACCACGGCCACTTATCACCTCTGACATCAAGCACTAAAAATGCCTGGACACACAAATCTGAGCATAAAGAATTCAGCTGCAGTCAGTATCTCCCTGGGGCAGAAAAACCCCCAAGACTGAGCTCAGAAGACCTGCCTCTGGCTTTAAATTGGGGCAAACGGTGGCTAATAAGCGCCACCCGCAACAACAATCATTTTGGAGCAAACCTCTAGGTGACCCGTCCGGGCCGTGCCTCGCGGTTGCCCGCGGGCGAGGTGCCCCCACCCCGAACCGGCCCTGGCGTGGGACCGGAGATGCTCCGGGCCCCGGCGGCGGGCGGGCACGCACCGGAGCCCGACCCCGGGCCGCCGAAGCCGCACGGCCGCGCCGGGCGGGCCCCGGAACCCTCGCCCAAGCCAGGCCACCCGGTGGCGGCGGTCCCGGGGCGCGCCGTCCCGGCTGCCCGCGCTCCCCTCGGCGCGGCCCCGCCACCACCCGCGCTCCCCTCAGCCCGCTCCCGGGCCGCTCCGCGCGGGCTCCTCCCTGCGCCCGGCCCTCCGGAGTCCCGGGCCCCAGGCCCGCCCCCACTCACTGCGCTGTGACGGCGGCGGCGACGGCGGCGGCGGCCGGGCCGGGAGACGCCGGCGGCCAGGGGCGCGAGCGCGAGGGCGAGGACGAGCGAGCCCGCGCCAGCTGCGGCG